TAAATTGTAGGAAATATTACAGCGCCACAGATCCAATCACTTGTCCCAACTCGCGCCCCATGTAATCTTCTACCATCATCGTCAGCCTGTAAAGTTCCACCGCAGCACATGGGCGACTCCTATTGTAAAGAACTTTCCATAATCTTCACGCTTGCCAAACGATACGCCAATCGCAATATCACATGTTTTATACCTTTGACGCAACTTGCCCCCGCCGTGATGGTCATACCACTTATTGGTCAGGCCCCTTACAACAGTACTCGGGGATGACAACGCATCTGCGTTTGTATTCTTCTTTTTTTATGCCATAGGGTGACAAACGAGCACACCATTCACCTGATGGTAAGTGGATACTGTGGCCCATAGACATTTATCTTCAAAATGCAGATGCGTTGTCACCCATGAGGGCTAAGATGGAATGCATCGTTTTCAGTAAATAGGGTCTCCGGTTCTCTACACTCAATATACGAAACACAGCAGCATTAAACTGCTATGTGGTGAGGTATGGTTTTACGCTGGTATTCTGTGAGAGCGTGGTAGTACCCCGGTCGAGCCGACCCATTCGTACTACAACCATATTATAACTGCAGCGTAACTCTACGACGTAAAAAATCTTAATCGAGGAAAGATGTGGCTATGACTCACAGCATCCACTTACCATTACCTGTCATCATTATCTCTATAAAGAGTCAGGAGCTGGGTGTTGACCTTAAACTTCATAATCAAAAATATAAACTTTTTTTAGTTTAAATATTTAAACTGTTAACTTTTATTTCAAGTACTGATTTATCTGATACTTGCACGTCTTAACAATTAAAAAAATATTTGGAAGTGGTGTGAAGACCACTAATATTTAATAATTTATTATAAAAAACATACTGCAGCAGCGCGACAACTCTTTCCTGCGACACAACTCCTTACATAAATTAAAGAACTCCCTTCCCAGCAGTAGGGTGTATATAATATGTAGGCTGTTAATCATATAGGTCGGAGGTAGGATTATATTGACAAGGGGACAATCTCAACGCATCGAAACTCGAAAAGCTTTTTTTGTATGTTTTGCTTAAACTATGAATAAAGATGGAATTCGAACCCATGACCCGAGAATCAGTATTTGGAAATCCTGACTATTACTCTAGACTAATTAAGACACACTTTAACAACACTTATGCATAAGAAGCGTGGTACACAAAAGACGTTGAAAAGTATGTGAAATAAAAACAAATAAAATATACAGTCATCTTCCGCTGTTTATTAAGAACACTGTTTTCACAATGAAATCTTACCTAGATATCTATAAATCTCTGTCACAAACACGAAAAACAAAATAGTGGTGTGCAACAATAAAACAAAATTATAACATTTACATTAGAAAGGGCGATATTTTTGATGTTATCGATACATTTACGTATTATAAATAAAAGAAAATAATTCATAATTTATTAGGATAACATATTGACACAAAAATGAAAAAAATGACTTTCACCAAACATGATATTTACTTATGCTTTGCTTGCAGAATGAATTTTGATGAAGAATTTACTATAGATTTTTATTGCAGAAGTAAAACCACACGAAAACTATCTGCATACATTATTCATGCAATGTCCAATTATTGCTGTAAGTACTACAGATATAGACAAAATACGAAAATTATTCTTAACGCCGCTTTTATTCGGATAGATTATTATCACTAGGAGTCTTATTCGACTATAAAATAAATCAAACAATAAACATTATAGTTGCACGGCATAATAACGAGAAATAATGCTAAATTGTAACATTTTAAATATTTTATTATATAAATTGGACGTAGCATTTACAAACACGATACCCTTTACGAACTATAGTTTAAAAAGGCTTTGGATAACATGAATGGTCTCATGCTTTATCAAACGTATCACAAAATGAAAAACTTTGAAATTGGATCCACAGAATGTCCGGCTATTAAAAGGGATGTCGCAGCTCAACAAGAATTACAAGAATTTATAAAATACATACGGATTTTTTTCTGCTGTTTGTACATATCATTCGTTCAGCAAGTTTTCTACTGGTATTTATGAGTGATAATATTGTTTGTCACCACGTTTATTTTTTTTTGTTACGTACTTTCTTAATAAACTCTTAAACCTCTATTCAATACCTACAGCTAAGACGAGGCCTTTCCACAACAATACTTGTATGTCGTATGCAATTACAGTTGTAGATTATCTTGCCCAGCGTGGTATACTTTATCTGGTCACTGTATTATTAAATATTTATTTATTTATTCATGAATTCATTACAGGTTACAGCCTATCAAAAGTCCACTGCGACATAGGTCTCCATGTTATGCCTCAAATAAAAGTAGAATTGAGAGCAAAACGTTGAAAATGTTCAAAAGCTGTCAGAAAAGTTGGTACTGTTCACATTATAACTGCGGTGTGCTTATAGGGCGCATAGATTCTCCTAAGACACTAAATCAGATAACTTTGTATGTACCCTGACCGTAGAGGACCAGAATTATAGTTAGTTCACAGAAGTAGTATTCAGTTCATATCTTTCAATTTGTAATTACTTAAATGATATATATTCACGGGAGTGAATTATAAATACAATGCCATAACAATTGTGGCGACAAACATTTTAAATGTCAACTTTGCAATTGTTGACATATTACAGAGACAACCAAACACTTCTGAATGTATCAAACCACTCAGACAACACGTGACATGAAAATAAAAAAAATACATTAATAAATAAAAAGTAACAGAATCAGGGATTTCTATAGAATTAAGGAGAGAGATGAAATATAATAAGGCTAATACGTTATATTCAATTGTAATAACAGTAAGCATCGTCACAAAAGTAAACCTTTATAGTTAGTGAAAATAAGAAATATAGACAAATCTTGCAAGGAGTAAAAAGTTAAGCACTTGTGTATTTTAACCAAACATTTGCAATAATAAAAAAAAATAGTGAAAAATATCTATTCATGATATCCAAGCCACGCGCGAAGTTAATCCAACCTAACATTTTAAAACAATTTTTTATCTAATGGACTTAACATACAAACTTGGTGTCAGTCGAAAATTCTATTGTATCAGTGGTAAGTATGCAATAAATCTTTCAATAATTAACATAATTTAAAATGATCTCATAAACATTCTGATATTTGGAAGAAAAGAAAGGTTCCTAGTTTAACATCCAAAACCACGAATATGAAATTTGCCAAATAATCTTATTGATTTAATTGAAAGTACCTATGCAATCCTAAGTGTGACCTCCTATAAAATAAAAAATTATAATTATAACCCATTTGCCTTTAAAAACTCTACTGTTTATATATAATGTTACCCTTTTAACTTATATCTTGCATATAGGTTAAAACGGTAGCCTATTTCAGATTCTCGAGTATCCTGTAAAATAGCGGTTTTAGATGCAGAAAGAAGAAAGCTTTCTTTAAGAAAAACTCAATATTTTAGTGTATAGGTCTTTGAACCGCACATTGATACCTGTAAAATGATATTGAGCTAATGAATCGCCTAAAAGGTTTATACTTATGAATGTTCATATTGAGATAGGTAATTAAAACTGGAGTAAGAACCAAATGTTATTTATTATATTTGGACAGTTAAAATTAATGACAGTTTTAACACAAAATCTATGCTAGTAAAAGTTACTTTCAAAATATATTGTATAAAAGAGGAACACTGAAATTACTAATTTTTATACATTATTAATCTATCTCACTACCATTAAAATTCAGTTAAAATATTATTTACATAGAAAGTTGTGTTCCTAACTTTTATTGTTAAAGGCATTTAAAACACGGAAGTGTATCAAAATAAAGTATTTTTTTTGTCAAGTCAATCGATCAAAAATAAATTCACATCTATAATACTTTTTTATAAGTCACGTTTACCTAATATAGGAAGTTTGCAAACGTTCTTAAACACTTTTACGTTTACGTTTAAAAATAGTTACACCCATAACCTATTATCTAATCGTACTAGGCCAATGACGTACAATATTCAATAACTGTTTTGACGAAATTCTTAAGCGCCATCACAATATTTATCGATATTAGTCAAGCTTCATAATTGATGCTTGACTCACTTCAGAAACTGCATTTTCAGAAAATTTAACAACTGTTTATGTGTATTATATAAACGTACATTATGTGAACGTACATCGTGTATGTATATTATATAAACGATATAATATTTATATAACATGTTTATTCAATATAATGGTTAATGAATGGAAAGCAAATTTCGCCTTAATTTGCATAGCGAAACTTAAATTTGATGTTTGTTACTGCACAGTTAGCAATCTCAGGAGTTATGGATCATATTTATAAAATGTTTTAAAACGTTTTAAAATTTCGCTCAATTTCGTAACATAAAATAGTGTTAACATATAAATGAAAATTAATTTGAACACAATAATTTTAAAAGTAAATAAACGCTGCAATACACTAAAACGAGAAAGAAAAATGTCGTAAAATTAGTTTCGTGGAGTTTAATAACAACCACCACTTGTTTATTAATACTTATATATTTTTTGATGTCTATACGAAAAGAAGCCGGCGTAAAATTTAAGAGCGCTGTTGTTACTTACAATTGCATTTTACAAGAAAAACATAATATGACGAAAACGTTAGACTTTAATTTAAATTTTGATACAATAAAATAAAATTACATTTACTTACTTATGTATGGTTTAACTGTATGCTTTTAAAGCATAAGTTTAAATTATTATTTTATAATTTAAAAGTTTTATACGCCGTGAATCAGTTAATCTTTCTGGCACTTGAGATCTCTAAAGAAGCTCTCTAAGGAAGCATTGATTAATAGGCCAAATTTAAAAAAAAATCCTAAAAGTAAGAACCAAAATATACAGAAATATTTTATATATATTTTATTGTTGGCTTAAGATGCCGGTTTTAAGATCATTGCAAATTTACCACTGATATGGAAACATTAACTTGGCGCTGCTCGCGTCTCCGACCGCTTACGTCACTCCAATCGGCTCACTTTCTTCCCCTTTACTAACGTCGGCTTGTTCTTTAGGAGACCTTTTCTTCGTTTTGATGTCTAAATAAAAAAAGAAAAAATCATATGGTATAGTGCGTTTCATCAAGCCAATTCATTAACGTCCACAGTTAAGTCAAAAGTCCACAGCTGAGATGGGGTCCACAGCTGATATGGGGTAATTATTTTACCGGACAGAACAGGACAGGACCGGAACGGAACGGACAGGGCAGGTCTAGAAAGGACCGGACCGGAAGGAATAGGAAAGAACAGAATACAATATAAGCCAGAAGCAAAGAAAGCATAAGTCACATAAATCAGTTTACAGTTCAAGGAAGCTCCCCTTACGAAATTGGCGCGTTTTTGAGTATTTTTAAGATGAAATACCTCGCATAATAGCCAAAATAATGGCGTAACAATAATTAATAGATATATATCTATTGTGAGATAAGCATTTTAAATAAGAAAGAGACACAATGACGAACAGACAAATACATTTTATTTCAAAAATGTTCACAATAAGAAATACAAAGAAAGGTAATACCATATAATATATATATATATACAGATTATAAGAAAAGTATACTATACCCCAGTTCCTACTTCAAGCGGAAGCTGCAATAGGAAAAAATTATGTATTAGTGATTGAAATGTAAGCGTTAGTAGAGAAGTTACATGAGCAAAGATAAAGAGGTTAGTTAGTTAATTGCCAAATAAATAAATTAATGAGGACATCCAAGACTTTTCTGCCACGGGGCGGAGTTTCAGTAGCTTATGGTGTGGATTTATTAAGTCCGTATGGCTTCGTAAACATGATAACTTTTGAAAATATCAATTGTTCAACTCAATCTATTTTTAAAACTCTTCATTTATCACGTGGGAAGCCATTGAATGTAAATGGTAGTTTAATTTTGTTTTGTTACGTTATACTTAATTTTTTTTCGGCCGCTAAATGTCGAAATTTTCGGTGATTTAGCTAGTAGCCTTGTGTGAATTCATTTTAATAAATAGATACTGCCTCACTCGGTTAGTTCGGCGTCAACCGCCGTTGTGAGTGGATACTGTATCGGTTGTTTGCAGCGGCTCAAAAAGATCGTTGTATAAATAAATACATAATATTCGAAAAACAAATTTCATACATACTTGATTATTATAATAATCAGAGATTTTTATTACAATATTTTAAAAGCACAGAATAAATAATAGTAGTATGTATTAAAAGTAAGTAGGATGTAATATTTATACTTGAATACGTCTTGGATTTTATGGAGTGACATGAATGATGATATGATAATCATATGAGCATTATGAGTCGTGTACTTTTGGATTTTCCAAACTTGTTTTTAAATTGAAGTTTGACATAAAATTATCGGAAATTGGAAGTATAATAAGGTTATTAGTGAAAACTTGTGTGTATTTAAATTACTTTAAAAAAAATTAATAAATGCGATTAGGGTATGCTCAATTGGATTTACCAATAGTTTTTTTCTTTGTATATAATGTCTGAGTTATCGCACAATGTAATTGAAGTTAGAGCAAAACGCGAAACTAAAGAACAGTTTGAAAATCCTATTTTAACACTTTCACTGTCCGGTTTTCAGACACAATAGTAAGACAATAGCAATGACCTATATGTAGTGCACGTGACAGCGAAAGGGTTAATAACGCATACTTGATATAAAGCAAAGGTATATAGGCTAGATTCTAAACAAATTTCCTCAATTATGATTTCGCGGATATAATTAGTAAAAATATAATAACATTGCATAGTTTTGTGATATACATTTAAGACATAATATATTAATTATAACTTTTACTGTTAACAAAAGAATTTATATTTTCGTTTTAATTGAGTAAGATTGAAGTAGAAATGTTAGTTAAATGTTGAGTATATACTAAATCTTTTGTTTATACCTACCTCCATCCATTATCCATATTTTAGATTGCAGGTTAATATTACAAATATCATTAATTTCTTCTATTTTTAGACAAAAAAGGTGCTCCCAAAGTAGTTGTTTGTCCTGCACCGTGAAGCTGTTTTACATGCATAAACTGTACCTCTGACAAACATCAAGACCCGGGAAAATTATTTGTCGGCCATACAAATGCTTGTTGCATGCGGGATTCGATACCGCGTCAAATATATATATTTTCACTTCGTATTACGAAACTATTAACTCATTTATGATATATTATAAACAATATCATTTTGGATACTTCTGATTGAATTCAGCCTCTTAACTCTAGGGTTGACAAATTTTACGTTTTGCACAAGACCATCGTCATTGCAACCCGTTCTAAATATACTTCTGAAATGAATCAAGTACTGTGAACATTTACCAAAAACCTGCTACAAAGCATAGCCCTGACCCACCTGCATCGACTGACAGTCTATGTCTTATCATACGTCCTTCTTCTAGTGGAGCATTCCGTTTACACTGTACTTGCCAGACATTTCCCACCATCTGTATCCTGCTCTACGAAATATGGCCATTGCAACTTCAGATTACTTATACTATGAACTAGACTTTGGTTCCATAGCGACTATTCTCTTTATTTATTCGCCGAACAAACTTTGAGCATAACCCTCTCTATAGTTTTGTCTATAGACAAGATTTTCTTTCATTTTTCCGCGCTCATTCATTACGGCCTATCAAAAGTCCACTACTGAACATAGGCCACCTCATAGATTGACTCATAGGGGGAATTTCTGTGATAGATAGTCGCTACACTTGGCAGACAGGTTGGCAACTACAGTTTTTATATTATTTGAGTTGTTTTCAAGAAGATGCTGCCCATCTCCTATCTCATTTTCCTCTGTCGCCTCTTACGACTGGCAAATTATATGGAGTAGAGTAGAGGATTCTCTGAAGTCGCCACTACACGGTAGATTTAGACCTATTGTCTATGACAACCGCCATCTATGATAACCGCCAGTATGTCTATGACAGTTTATCGTTGGACCGGATTGACCAATCACCGTGCAGCACGTCCCGCGAGTTGATTGGTATATAAGACGCGCGCGCTCAGGTGGACGGGGTTGCTTCCATAGATTACTATATAGTTGCTTCCAACCTATTTTACAAACTTCACTAGTTTAAATATTTATATCAGTGCCATGTAAATAGCAGTAGCAAAGAGGACTAAACGTCGTGTGAACTACCAAGCCTTCTTTCTACTTCTTTGACCTATGATGTCATATTCCTAAGGTTTACAGTGAAATACTTCATTGGCAATCATTGAATTCCTCGTTCCTTTTACTCGTTAGATAAATATGTTGCACAGCATACATTTATTGCAATAATAGATGCATTTGTTGACAGCATTTTATTTTTATTTATTATTATATAGCTATATTAGAGCATTTTTCGAAAATATGGTCTTTGCCTATTAAAATATTTTTTATGGAATTGCACTACATCAATTGCACCAGATTCAATAATAAGTCTGGTACACACGCAACCCTTATCACTACTTCCAGTCCATTTTACTAATAACACTAATCTACTACGGTTGTTATGTTAATTAGTTCAAGATGTGAACATTTTTAAAATACGATTTAATATGATCAGGAACGTTACACATTGCTTAACGGTAAAGACTATCATAGGAGAAGGAGACCTATCCATACGTTCTTGGCCCCAAGTGTTAACAAAATGAAAGTAGAACCATTTGAAAGCGTATATATAAACAATTCATAGCTGAAAATCTGGCAAGATTTGTCAATCTAGGAGCTGAGTGATTGTAGAATAAGTATAAGTGAGATTATCTATTATCTACACTGTAACAGGTGATTTTTCACTGTTATTACATTGTAACAGTCTTTTTTTTTTCACTATAATTACTTAAAGATACAAAAGCAGGATCAGTATAAAATCATCAAAAAAGCTGTGGATGATAATGAAACGAAATGGTGAAACGAATAACGAAAGTTAAAATAACAACAACTAATTAAATTGAATATTAGGGATATCGATCTGAGATTGACTACTTTTATTGTTGTTGTAACTGTTACATGTTGGAATGTTGTTATTTTGTAGTTTTTATTATTATTTTGTAGATATACATTTAATCGAGAATCGATTATATTGAGCTTGTTTCAAATGGAATCGAAAATCTGTCTTTTTCTATTATGTAAATAGTTTGAGGTTTGAATTGTCAAGTTTCAAAATGAAAAGTCCTCTATTGGAAGATATGGTTCAGAAACGAGAATTTCACTAGTGTATTCTTTATGGTAATCGATTTATTGCCATAAAGAATACACTACAATCGATTTTCTAACTTATTTCTTATTTTATTGTTTTTTTTTTAATTCTAGATTGTAAAAAGGGCTACTTTTTTATTTTACTTTAGAAAAATATGGCCAATTTTTTAAAGTATAAACCAATTAGTTAACTTCAGACCCAACAATCCTTTGAAATAGTCTCACAAAATATTTCATTGTAATAAGTGACTATTTAATTCATATTGGAAATTACTAGAGACTGCCAAGACTCGCAGGTAATTAATAAATACGTACAAAAAATCTTCTGTACGTTTTTTTTTGTTTGTGACATTCGTGTAGTATTTTAGACAAGAACAATATAATAATTAAATTTAATCAACACAAAGCACTCAACTATGACTATACCTTTTTTGAAACGGCATTGGTTGTAGAAATTATTCTCTTCGCTAACGGTATACGAGGTCGATTGAACTCGTCAGGCTTCTTTACCCTGCAATACAAATAACATAATTATAAGATAAATGAAGATAACTTGTGTACAATTTACAAAATTTACCATCCCAAATACGATAATATCCTAGTCCTAGTGCATATAAGGTAAAATTAAGTAAATCCAAGAATGCCTGTGGTCTCGATTGTTATAATATATGCCACGCAATTAACACAACAGCTAACGTTTGGATTTGGAAGTTATTGAAGTGGCTGGAGTGGAACATGCCAAAATGGTTTTATTTAAGTGATGAATAGATGACTCCATAAGAGAAACATTTATTCATAGAAATGAGGGTGATAAACAAGCACCCAGTTCACCTCATGGGGTAAGCTGTGGTCCATACACACCTACATCTATCATCAATTAAAAATCAAAATGCAAATACATCATCATAGCTAAGAACTAAGATGGAAGGGCCTCGGTCCTAATATAAAGTCTACGATTCTCGTTATTTACGAATTTTTCGTTGGTATGGCCGTGCTTGTTTCACTTATATTTTTTAATAAAATTGTTCAACTCAATGCGCCTACACCACATAATTAAATTTAACAATCGAAAACTGAACACATCTATAAAAAGAAAATGTCACGAAAATATTTGGCAGTGCAACACTTGTAAATATATTTTTTCTTGTAGTAATAAAAATTATATTGTTCAATAAATATTTTTAACTTTTATGTATGTATGTACATAATGTTAATAGATGATAATGAATATGACAATATCCAAAAATTATTTTATTCTTAATTTCGTGACAACCCCTAACATATATGCGCAGGACGACGTAAATAGTAAATACCTTCCACGGGCGGCGGCATCGACATCAAGGGCGTTTCCAAACTATATGCTCTTCAAACTGTGACTTAACAATTGAATATGTACGGTAAGCCTAACTCTACCCCGTGATTATTATATGACATCTTATTGATCTATTGTTTCCACTGCGACTAGCTTCAAATATTATCCGAAGTTACGGATTGAGCAGGAGAAATAATAGTGCATGCCAAGTGTCCGCACTAGTACAAACGCACACTCGTCCTAACCTAAATATACGCTAAATGTAACTCCACCAGTGTTGTAATGGCAACTTACCTGTATATCCTTACAAGCCAGTGCTCAGTGGTATAGGCCTCCTCGAGGTAGGTGAGTTTGAAGCCGCGGTTGCCAGGCAACGCGCCACGAGTGCGGTCGTAGCCAGGTGGACTGCCGCCGCTATCGTATCTGTGAAACACGGACAGGTCAAATAGATACTATTTTAATACTTACATCAGTTACTAATTGCTACTAATGTTAATTAGGTATTTTACACAGGTCTATTAAAATATGTTCTTATTTATTTACACCTAAACAAATTTTTATTGAAATTATGGGAACAGAAAAACAGTTCTGATAATGAAATAACTTATATTTTATACTAGCTAAAACCGGTACTTTAGGAGGGCCCGCAAACTTTTCGTTCCAATTTTTTCTGAGCAGATTCCAAATTAAAGGCATACTCCAAAAAGCGAGAATTATCACGATAAAAATTTAATTCTGCATCTGGAACTCCGTTCTGACGTCGTCTTACTTCATTCATCGACGAACGGTTTAGTTCACGTTCTTTACTAATTCATAATCAGCGCCATCTAACATATCTATCGTGGTACTACTATTAAAGTATTTTTTTTAATATTCTTACAGATGGCTTCACCCGCGTGGAATTTACTATGATTTCATGGGTTTTTTTTCTTCCGTGGAACCCTAATTCTTTTCAAATTGTGTGAATTGTGTGTTTTAACGTTAATATGAAACAAGACATAATGAAGGGAAATTTAAACGTGAATGAATAATACTACTTTTTTTACAGATTTTTTGTGGTTTATAAGTTCGCTTCGACATAAGAAATCATATATTTAAACATTTGTTAATGTATATATGACTAATTGTTTTTAAGAAGTGAAAAGCTGAACTGAGATAAATTTAAACGCAATTTTAAGGCATAATGCCTATCAAGAATCAGGCCTAGTTTTGCACAAATTATACAAACCTAAATAATAAAACACACACCACATAATACTTCCTTTTCACAACACTATAATTATTAACTAATAGAAATAGAAATAGAAATGTATTTATTTAACCAAAAAACATTACATAATTAAGCAATACACTGGTTTCTGCACTAAGCTCTAGGCTTGTATCGCAGGAACCAAGAACCTTGACTGACACCGTTTACACCGATGAATACATAGAACTCCGATTAAATTAAAATAAAGAGAAAAGAAAACATTTTTTTTTTGTATAAATTAATGCATGAAAGAAAGAAAAAAAAAACAGCTAATTTACGTGTGCGCGTGCGTGTGCGTGTGTGTGTGTGTGTGTGTGTGTCTGTGTGTTTGTGTGTATGGGGGGGGGGGGGTTGCGTGCTTGCGCGTGTGTGTGAGTGAGTGTAAGTCTACGCGTGTGCATGTATAGGGTCAACTATGAAAGGAAAGTAAGTTTTCCGTTTCCTGATAAGAAGCATGTAGCAACCAGGTTGTTATTTTGTGTTTGACTTTACTTGTGGACAAAGACCTCAAATCTGGGAAGAGATGGCAGAATTTGTTGTAAATGCTAGGCAGAAGAAATGGTGAGTGGCGTTTGATAAAGCTACTGTGTGTATTGGGAATCGGTACTCGAAAGATCCGACGTTGGCACAGGTTAAGATAATCCGGGGAATTTATTATTTTTCTGTGGGTTAGAATAACTGCCTTTAAAATGTAGATTTGGCGAACACGTAGCACCTTACATTCCTTGTACAGTTCGTCAGTTGGAAATCTAAAGTTTTTAGACAGCATTACTTTTAGTACTGCTCGCTGGGCCCTATCGACTTCAAGCATTTTTGTTTTGATAGCTCCACCCCAAGCCAGCGTGCAGTATAATCAACACTATATTTAGTTGGGTACTAGATTGCACATTAACGCTAAACATTTATAATGTGATCGAAATGGATATTTTTGCATAACTACTGCTAATTTCAAACTATCTATTCTTTCATAATTTTTCAAAAAGCGACGAGTGTTTCTTTTGTACTCACCGATAATATGATAACTTGTACATTAAGCAATTTAACATTGTTTTGGATGCTTCTGAATCTACCCTGTATTCGCCTCTCTCTGTGAAATAATCTGCTTCCTATAAACAGTAATAAAATATGTTACTAAAGAATTCTGAAGAAAAAAATAATTTTGTACATATAGGCATCACAAATTAAACTAAATGAACTGTCAAGAATTAATGAGAATCTAAAATAATAGTAATTGACAATATGGTTTTAGGTGTACACAATGTACGCGCGATTGTATGTTGTTACAATTAGCTATGCATAGTATCGGCAACAATAAATGTAATGATATTTTAATTTTCGTTTTATTTTTCGATAAAAAGACATTCTTTACTTTGTGCTCAATTACAATTGAATAATATAAAAATAAAGCTAAACGCCACGAAGACTTTTCCAATAACTTAAAACCTGGTATTTTATAATCGGTATCTAAAAACCAATACCTTTTTTTATATTATACTAAGCCAGCGCTTAACTGCAATCCCACCTGATGGTAAGTGGTGACGTAGCCTAAGATAGTGAAGCGCACTGACTTAACAAAAGCCTATTCACTCTTGCCTTGAAGACACCCACATTGTAATCGGATGGAAAGACAAATACTGGCAATTTGTTCCACTCCTTTGCTGTACGCATCACGAATGATGTAGCAAACCGTTTGGTTTGAATGCATGGTAAGTCAACAACGAAAGGGTGGAGACTGGCCGAACGTCTGGTTGTCCGATGGTGGAAAGGAGAGGGAGAAATTAAATTATGCGATTCCTGCTGCGCACACTCTCCGAAATGCATCCTGTAGAAAACTGAAAGGCTGGCTACTTTGCGCCCGTGTTCGAGGCTGGTAAGATTGATTTTAACCAAATTTTGCGTCACCAATAAGCCTCTTAGCACGCCTTCCCATTGAGTCCAAAGCTGCTAGGTGGTATTTTGCAGCACCAGCCCATATACACTCCATGCACGACCGGAGTTGCGCTTTATATAAAGTAAGCAGCTGTCCCGGCGTGAAGTATCGCCGCATCTTTGCAAGGACTTCCTAGTTTCCTAGCAGCTGCTATAGCCTTGGACTCAATGAACCGCCCGAAGTTCAGATTTGAGGATATCTCAACCCCCAACAACCGAAGGCTGTCGGCCTTTACTGGAAACAGACTGAGGATGAAACGTCTATTATACTTAAATGAAGAAACGTAATAAAATTTGTAACCAGTTTATAAATCCTGGTCTTTCGTTTCGTTTCCGTTTAATATTTAGTTCATAATGTCTCAACTCACATGAATATCTTTAGGGTGTTCTCCCTCAGCGATGCGCACCATCCAAATAAACTTATTAATATCGTCTCCCGAATAACCGATCGCCCCTCCGAATATAACTAGCACGTAGTCGACGTCCAACATCGTCATGATCTCGTAGGCCGCGCTCTCATTACTCGCCATTGCTTTGCCAACCAATGCTATGTGCGAATTGTTCCATGTATTGTTGTCTACTAGTGTGGTTCGATTCCCCATGCCAGCTATCTGTAAAAAGAAGTTTTTTTTTATTCTTTGTATTTGCGTGAACTTTACACTGCTGACCGCAGACCCTTTCAAGAATGCGCCAACAGACATTATTTCCTTAAAAGCTATAACGTTGGGATGGCGAATTCGCCTGGCTCATATTTCGAAGGACCATTAATGTCTGAAGTCGGTGCTAAGACATCTTATATAGAAGAACTAAAGCCTTGGATTCAGAATGTGGAATTATGCTTTCCTTTTTAGTTGTTTGAAGACGGCTTTTACTTTTTAATAAAAGTTATTTACACTTTTGAGTGGACTAAAGAATATCACAATCTCAATGTCACTTAAATAGTACATTAAGTCAGAAAAGTATCGGGAATGGATGATTTTTTTATGGTTCTAAATTCAATTATTTTTTGTTGTTGTTAGATTGGCATTTATTGCTGATAAGTGAACATATTTTTAAAAAATATCTTCGTGTATTCGACATTTCAAGTTGCAATCTAAAGTTGAGATCTTATACCGATGACTCGATCAAACCGTTGGGTTTTATCACTGTGTCGCATTATTATAACTCTGATAACGAGCTACGGGAGGCGCATGCACTGCCATTATACATAATACCAGTGGTGGTCCTCCGCTACTCGGCGGAGCGTGGCTACGCCGCTTACAACTTTAACACATAAACATAACATAAACCACTTAAAAGATGAATTCACAGGTGATAAAAACAAACGCATTAGTTTTGCTCAGGGATTAGGTACACAAGATGTACAAAGCGATTTACGTTAAAGTTAAAAGATAACAAACCCATTTTTATAAGGCGCATAACTTACCATTGTCCTTAAAGAAGCCAGTCAAAAAGGAATCGGAACGACTCGTTAATGAGGGCCACAATAGCTAGAGTAGAAAATTTGGAATACGGGACACCTATTGTACCGGTCATAAAAAAGTGCGGAAGTACTACTTGTTTTTGCGGCGATTATAAAATAACAATTAATCCCAAATTAAAACGTAACGTCAACCTTTACCGCGTATTGAGGAAATTTACGCAGTTTTGAGTGGTGGCACTATATTCTCAAAAGTAAATTTGTCACACGCGTACGAACAGGTAATATTAACGAAGGAATCACGAGCATGTACCTATAAGCACGCACGTAGGCAGGCACGTTCGAATATATCCGCACCCCGTATGGTTTAAGCTGTATACCGGAAATATTCCTTGGGAGGTTCCGGGTCGCCCCTGGCAGCGTTTGTAGGTTGCGCTGATTTTGGCGTTGTTGGAGCTTGCCGCAGAGAGGAGTTAGCCAATATTAATTTAAAAGATATTGATGCCCATGGAAAATAGCTATTAATCAAGATTCCGAATACAAAAAATAAGATACCGAGAAGCTTTGTTGTTGAAGGAGATTTTCTTAGAATAGTGCAAAAATATATGAAAAATTATCAAAAAGGGAAGTGTACAGCTCAAGCAATCGGGATAAACAAATTTGGTAATATGCCAAAAGAAATAGCTACGTTTCTTGGTCTGCCGGATGCTGAGTATTATACTGGGCACAGCTTCAGAAGGACCTCTGCTACATTATGGCAGATTCAGGAGCCAATTTGACGTCTTTAAAGCGACTAGGAGGTTGGAAGTCAGACAAAGTTGCAGAAGGCTGTATTGCTGATTCATTAAACAACAAATTAGAAACTGGGAATAAAATCACACAATCCATTAATTTAAAGTCCAGTCCATCTCCTTCACATGACAACACTGAAGAGAACGTTCGTCCATCTACATTCGTTGATAATGATAATTCATCAGATCCAATTCCATCAACTAGCAAACGCCATTGTATATATATACATTGTATATATGTACCTTTGACAAATATACATGAACAATCATACGAAATTAATAATAGTTTGTCTCAAACAGTAAATATACAACCTAAAACTTCTCCAGTTAGTATAAAAACTGTACCAATTTCAATGTATATGTGAATTATAACTTTTATAAGAAATAAATGATTAGTTAGTTGAGTTTATTGTGTTTTTATTATTTTATTAAATTTGCTTCATTTTTTCGCAACTGTATTTAAAATAGTTGTTCTACACGTGCGGAAACGTCATTGCAACTTGTTCCGCCTGTCAACTCTTTGCAATGACAGGCTTTCCGCACTCGTAATGAAATATACTATTATAACATGTAACTATTTATAATCATTATTAGGTACAGAGGTTTTGGGTATGTTTATATTCTTATATATTCAAATACCGCCATGGAAGTTAATAAATCAGTTGTTCACTACATAATATATAACTCGACCCAACATTCGTGAAACGCATTGTTACTGGTGACGAGATGTGGGTTTACGAGTTTGACATGCGAACTTGTCAACAAGCTTTGGAGTGGCGCCCTCCAACTGAACCGAAACAGAAAAAACCACGCCAAAGTCGATCAAAAGTCAAATTTGACTGTTTTCTTTGACTATCGCCGTGTTGTGCACTTAGAATTCTTGCCGGGAAATCAAACGGTAAATAAAGAATATTATTTGAGCGTTATGCGGCGTTTAAGAAAGCAAATTAGACGAAAAAGGCCAGATTTTGTGGAAACAAAATTCCTGGATTTTGCACAATGCGCCTTTGCACACGGCAATCATTGTGAACGAATTTTTGATCAAAACTCAACAAATACCATCGTGCAACCACCTTATTCACCAGATATGGCTCCAGCCGACTTCTTTCTTTTTCCTAAACTCAAATTAATAAAATAAATATTATTTGGGATTGGTTTTACTCCAAATTAAAAGAATAAACTATTTAATAAAAAAATAATCATCAAAATCGGTTCACTATTAACGAAGATATCGCGTTACATACATACCAAAAAACATACTATTGAATTATTTACCTCCACCTTTTTTCGAAGTCGCCTAAAAAAAGCTGTTTATCTAATATTATTTTACCATATTAGGTATACACATTTTTATGTTGAATATGATTCGGTTTATAATTTACAGTAACACAATCAACAAATTACCTGATAGCCATAATCCCACCACGACATCACTCTCGCGTCTTCTGCAGTATTTTGTGACAGCCAACCGTACGCCTCTCGGAAATCATCTAAAATTTTACGCGACCTAAAACAAAAATAATTGTATTTTAATACAATATTGTATGAACAAACCAACGTGTTTTACTTTAATTAGTGTTTCAAATTCAATGATATCAAAATATACATACACATCAATAAAATGAGTTGAAAATAAGAGGTGTGCCTAAAAATGGCACTGTTTCCTTGTTCTACAAAACTCGGCTCTTCCGAATTCAAACAAATCGGTTTCGCCTTAGAATCGAACAAAATGTGAAATAAAGTAATTTGTGGTTCAGTAAAAAAAAGTTATTACCTACTTCAAAAACAACAATACTCACCCATCATTACCGTAGCTAGCCAATACAATACTAGGACTCGAATAGGCGTTCGAAGTAGCCCAAGTACAGTGAACCGAGAAGAGCATCAATAAAATCATAAACGCTATGAGTATACCGGAGCGCACGTTCATCCCAAGACCTGTATTGTCTGTAGGTAATGTTGGTTCGTGTGCCCGCTTTTTTAATTTACCTGCCTGTGGACAATTAATATGTGTATACAAGAAATAACATACAAAATGTTTAGTAAAACAAAACTATTTAATAAATTAATATTGGTGCTACATGATGATGATAATGATGATGTTCTTCTGGTAGATATGGGTCACAATGATAACTTTCGAATAAGTACTATTAACAGATATATACATGACTGTGGAACTAAGCCCAAGGGGTTCCAATTGGTTGTAGTCTAACAAAACCCTCGCAGAAAATGAAAGGAAGGCCTGTGTCATATAAATAGGCTGTCATATAAATGACTTAATAATGCGATTGCTGATTGGGGGCGTCCATTAGTTACGTGAGGTGTTTAGAGGGGGAGGGGGGGGGGGGGGGGGGTCAGAGCTGAATCTCGCCCAATCTCATGTGGGGGAGTGGGAGGGTCTCGGCAAATATCACGTAAAATTTCAAAAGAAACAATGTAAAATATCGAAATAAGCAATATAAAATTTCGAAAAAAAAATTCAATGTAAAATATGGCTAAAATAATAGTTATGCGAACTACATAAATTATATAAAAATTATGTTTTTATTTTAAATAATCCCAACGCAATCAAGCACAGATATTTACATTAGAAGGTATTTACATTAGAAATAAGCATTTTGAAAAATCTTACGTGAGATTTGGGAGGGCGGGTGAGGGGGTCGAGTCATCTCACCAGAGGGAAGAAAAATCACGTAATTAATGGACGCCCCCATTCCAGCAAATCCTTCTAACTAGAAACTGAGTATAGTACAGTTACAAACTATATATATATATATATATATCCCACAGCTGGGCATATGCCTTCTCTCATTCCTGACAAGGTTTTAGGACAAGAAAGTATTCGCGCTGTCCCAATACGTGTTGGCGGACTTCATATATCTTCGAAATATTTTTTTTTATTTCCATTACCGCCGAGCGCGTGGTAAATTGGCACTTAAAATTGCGCGTAACAATTTAATTGGAATTAGACACTGACAATGAAAATGATCGCAAACTGTTTCTTCAAACTTTGCCATAATGGTAGGCTGTAGGACTTCTTTTCTGCTTAGGAGTGTCTGGGTAGGTTTTTTTTATAGGATATCTACATTTATCCTCGTTTGCGAATCAAAATGCAGACGCCTTGTCACCCGTGAGGACTAAGATGTAAAAAGAGTCTCCGGTTCTCTACACATACACCATACGAAACCATCTCTACACACCATACGAAACAGAGCGGCATTAAACTGCTATTTTACGCTGGTATTCTGTGAGAGCGTGGTCCTTCCTCGGTCGAGCCAACCCATTCGTGCCACAACTATACTATTAATATAGCTGCAGCATGGCTCTACCACGTAGGTACCAACCTTTTAACTATTTCTGCCGCAAAGTAGCAGTGCTTGCACTGCTCACTGCTGTTTTCCCATCTGAAGGGTATAGAAAGCTAGTTTAATTACAGACTGGGAGGCATTTTATCTTAGTCCTCAGATGTGACAATGCATCCGTAGCCGTTTTTGTTTGAAGTTGCTTGCAGATGTCAACGGTTTACAGTAGCTACTTACCATCAAGTGGACTGGAAGTTCATTTAATACCTCAGTTTTATAAAAAAAGTAAGGGTTTTCCGTAATTGATACTCGATAGGCGGATTTAGTTACATAAATCAATAAGAGACTAAAAATTAAAAAAAGGTATAAAAATAAGACTGTTTCACCTTGTCATAAAGACTTTTTGACTCTTCGCTCTCGGTCTGAGGTATAGGCAATTCATCTTCTCTCAACACCAAGTCAAGCAGTATTGAGAAGGCAATACCAGCGAGCACGCAAACAACCGGCGTCAACGTCAACATCAGTCGGACCATCACACCAGCGAAGTATACCGCACTCAATGCGTAGAGAGCAACTGAAAATTGCCTGACGAGTTATTAAGGCCAAAATGTAAATTATATACATAATATTAACATCACATTAGTAAATCCAATAATTTTAATATGCTTTCTTGTTTACATCCAACATTGATATTTGTGCGAAGCCAAGAAGAATGAAAATCATACAGTTAATTATTACATCTAACACATTTTGTAAGTAATTTTTATAAATACACTTAATATTCTGTAATGAAGTTATTGACCGTTTAATTATAATGTATTTGTTTTCTCTTTATTTATTTAGGGGTTTTATCCCGAACGGATTTGTCAGCCCCATTATACCCTAATCTTAACGACACACTAGAAAAAAAACCTTGTTGAAAAGAACTAGAATTATTGATGTTTCATAACCATGTAAGCCAAAAATTTCGCAGCATCTGACAGTGGTTCTGCTAACAGTTGGACAAACTCCTAAATAGTACATATTTATATTGAAATTTTGCACCAATAATTAGAAAGTAGATTACACAACTAATTAGATGTAGAAGAATTAGTAATTTGATAAACCAGCAAGATTTTTAAGAATATAAAAACTTGTTCTTTGTCGGCCTATCCACTTGTGATACAAATGTCCACAGATGGTCATTAACCTGTTCCGTACTAGGCAGGATTTGCTTCAATCGTCATGCTTGGGAGACGGATAGCAGTACCAAACTTCTCGCATCTTTGACGCTGCTGATCTGGGTATTTTACATCTAGCATAAAGGAAATGGTTAAAGAGCCATCTATCGAAGGTCATGAGACGGCACTTCCTATAATCGCCTCATAAGACACCAAAGGACGAATGGCCAATTTATGTATGTAAAACACCTCCATGATAATGGAGCGAATCCTTGTGTGATTATTGTAAATGTATACTGTATATATTGTAAATTGCAAATTATACCTTTTTCCAAAAGAATATAGTAAAATAAAAAATGCATTTAAATCTCTTTCACTTTTAATGCAACTTAACTTACCGAAAACTCTCTCATCATTGATATTTTTAATGCAATACCACAGCCCTACAGGGAATGTGCATACAAGGACATGCAGGTCAAAGAAGAAGGATGACCAGGTCGTCGGCTGGTGTTCCGATACTGAAGCTATGATCGGAATATGGATTTTGGCATAGCCCGTATCCCACAGTGAATAGAATCTGTAATGGTAATCAATAAAAACAACAATGCAATTATGCTTCTTTTTACACCGTCTAATGTATAGTCTATTTTATTATTTATTCTCTAAGGTGATTATTAAGTCAGCCAATTTTTAATAAATTTAGAAATGTGAGATTCAGAGGCTTTATGGTGCTTTTTCTTATTTTGTGTTTACTTACCGTCCGCTCCAAGGCGCAATAACCCCCATGTAAGTCAACAGCACAACTGCAATGAAAACTGCAGCAGCTGCTAATAATCCTCCTAAAATTAATAGTTGCTTCCACTGTCCCTTAGGGTTCAGACTGTGTAAGTACTTCAGGGCGCCAATAGCCATTAACAAAGCAAATACACCTAAAAAAATATATAATACTTCTTTACATTCCATTATAGTCTTTACAGGTGACAACATATGTACCTTTCTTTGTTTAGTAGTTCGTTTCCATGGGCTGCAGTAGCCATTAAGCATTAGGTGGACTATAAGTTTGTTTGTCACTTCAGTTTTAATAAAAAAAAAATACAAAACATTTGCACACCCATTGCCCATTTCAGTTCAAGTTTCCCTCTGTCATCTCCTACAACACCTACAGAATGATATGGGATAATTTAAATAGATCTTAAAAACAATGTGAAATTTTACGAATATGTCGCATTTTAGAGCTTCTATGCGTTATGTTGAGTTTGCCTTGTAGTACTGGCATTAAAGAATACATTACCCCGTCATCCCATAGGTGTCGTAAGATGGACAGACATAGGACAAAGAGAAACTTAAACAGGAGATGGGTAACAGCAGCTTCTTAATAAGAACTGAAGACAATAAAGAACTGCAGTTGCCAACCCACCTGCTAAGCGTGGAAGCTATGGCAAAACCTTTTTTTTTGTTATAGGATAGGGTGACAAACGAGCACACAGCCCCCCTGATGGTAAGTGGTTGCTGTGGCCCATAGACATCTATATTTATCCCCGTTTGTGAATCAAAATGCAAATGCGTTGTCACCCGTGAGGACTAAGATAGAATGCCTCTTTTCCAGTAAAAAGGGTCTCCGGTTCTCTACACTCACCATACGAAACACAGCAGCAAGCTGCTATTTGACGCTGGTATTCTGTGAGAGCGTGGTCCTTCCCCGGTCGAGCCGACCCATTCGTGCTACAACTATACTACTAATATAGCTGCAGCATGGCTCTACCATGTAAAACCAAACCAAAAAAATGTGAGGCAATCTAAGGTTATCTTTTCTTTTTCATTATTCTCCCCTTTGTTAACATTATTTGGAAACATTATAGGTAATTTAGAGTGAAAATAAACAGAACAAGTGGTGAAATTAAAAATTTTGTACAACTGACTTCTATATAAATAAAAATTACAACATAATCAATGTAGTTGAAGTCATGTAAATATGCATTATTGAGGATAACTCAAAAACTAACGGTCAGATTTTGATCAAATGTATATGGGAACACATGAGAAACACCATGCAAATTTTGATCATGTTTTATACTTGCTATGTTAAATATAATACACACAGAATCACCCTTCAACAGCCTTTTTAAATCCATATCAGAACAGGGATCTTTTCAAGAAATGAAAGGACAAGGTTGCCATTGCAAGCAATAATATGTACTCATACTCACTAAATCACAGAGCCTTGTCAGATAATAACATGTGCACAGGAGAGGTTAGCATATGGGGAAAGGTAATAAATTCTCCCTTATACCCCACAAGATAATATTAATGTATACAATGTCTGTCTTTTATCTGTCTGTCGTTTATATTCCTCTCCCTTAAAATATTTCTTTCTTTTTTTTAAAGAATAAGGGTGACAAGGTAACTGACGGTAAGCGGATGCCCATAGACATCTACATTTATCCTTAATAAAGAAACAAAATTTAGATGCATTGTCACACCTGAGGACTGAGATGGAATGCCTCGTTTCCAGTAAAAAGGGTCTCCAGTTGTCTACATGCTATGCTGGTATTCTGTGAGAGCACAGTGCTACCCCGGATGAGCCAACTCATTAGTGCTAAAACCATAATATAGCTGCAACATGGCTCTACCAACAGTCTCATATAACACATAAAAAAAATTGTAGTGGTATTTTTATTGTAATAATCTAATGGAAACTAGTTACCTGAAGCTGCCATGTGCTCACTAGTCCGTATTGGCTGGAATCCAACAAATGGTATTTGCATAGACAGAAGTAATCCTATGATATAAAATACAGTGTAACTGACAAACAACCTTTGTGAAAATCTACCCATAATAAGTAGCACAAACACATGCAATGGTATCAAGTTTATAATAAACACATAACCTCCCCATGCTGACACCTAAAACAAAAAGTATCCAAATTAATTTATCATGCATAAAGTATTTCTTATTACATATTTGGTCAACATGAAGAAATAAATAAAACAGGCATTTTTTTAAACCTATTGACAAATATATTTTAGGTAAGCAAAATTTAAGTAATTGAAGGCAATAAAAACAAACAGAAGTGAGACAAATTTACTATAATGAATAATACAAGTTCATTAATGTAAATTCTGATTGTAATTATTATACAAAACAATGCCATAATCCCATTTTAATACCATAGTGATTATATAATTTCCCATTGATTTACAGCAGTGATTCCCAACCAGTGGTCTGCGCTCCACCCGCGGTCTGTAAGAGCTTAAATATGTTCTGTGAAATATTTAAATATTTTACTTAACTAATCGTTTTAGATAACACATTTAATATTTTTTCATCACATGGGTAATGCAACATCACCCCTAGCGTCGCAATCAATATCACAATTTTTACCAAAGCTTTATGATATCTTTTTTAATAAATACACAAATAATACTGTAAATGAATGCTTCTCTTCAGTTTATTATATAATTATGTAAAGTTGTGATTAAAATTTATTTTTAGATTTTTTAGTTGTTTTAGTTTTTTCTTTCACTTTGTGGTCCCTGCTGGTTGGGAAAGCCTTATTTACAGTCATCAACATCAGCACTACACTATAATTTATTATATTTTGAAATAACAAACTTAACTTATTTATTCTTAAAAATGAATACTCAGTACATACCATATAAAAGTAGGAAAGTGCAGTGCAAACAGACCAAAAAACTGATCCGCTTTTTACACTTTTCAGCCAAAGGTAGTACGTAAATTGTAGGGCGAAGATGGCAATACCCTCATTATCATAGCTTCCAGCCACAGATCTACTGCTGTAACCTGGAACTATTGCTATGAAGCATGCAGCAAATAAACCAGCACCTCTCGACCATAATTCTGATGTTAAAAGGTATGTTGCTATTGCTGTCAAACCACTGAAAATAATTTGAAATATAATAAAAGATAAATAAATTATTAACACACTTTTAAAACATAGTATGAAATGAAATCTAACTAAAAGGTTACACATAACAAAAAAAACTAGTCATAATAAAGAACTTAACTAAAAATTTAAATTGTCATACTATGGTATCATACCAAGTTAAATAATTGTAAATTTTTATCATAATATGAATTGAAAAAGAATTAATTATTAATTAATGTTTATAATCTAACTGGAATCTTATTATTAAATCTGATGAAGCCAATATTATTAGTTATTAGTAAAATTTCAATAATCTTTCATTCCATGTTATTTTAACATAATCACGATGTCAAATATAATAAAAAAATATTTACTGTATTTTGTTTAAAAGAAATGCACATAAAAGAAACTATTTGAATTAAGAAATTATAAAGTAAATCTATGTATCTCATATATAGAATTACAATCATTTGTTACAGCCCATCAAAAATAATAGGATATTTGCCAGTTACCATGCTTACAATCAGTTTTTCATTATCTTTTAGTTAATATTAGGAAGATGCTGCTGCTCATCTCCTGTTTCTTTTATCTCTGTCGCCCCTTACGACACCAGGGATGACATGGGATAATGGATAATCTTACATTGCCATTACACAGCAGATAGATTTTAAAATAAAAAGTAAGCAAATAGCCAACATCTTACCTAAATACTGGAGCAAGAAATACACAAATGTCTCTTATATGAATTGGTATATTGAGAGTATGTAGTATCCAATGTATAGTGCCTGATGTTATCATTAGACCAGGATAAACAGTTCCACCTACAATGCGTCCAAGAGGATACCAAGCACGTTCATCAAACCAATTAAGAAAATTGTAAAAACCATGCTGTACCATGTATGCTGTAGATCTGTAGTTAAACCTGAAACACGTAATACCTGCGTTAAAACCGCATTTAAAATGTAAACTTATTTTAAATTTACGTTTTCTTTAGACTTACCATGGGTCAAATTCGTGAATTATACTCTCAAAACGTATAACAGCAAATAACCGAGATGCAAAACCGGCCAACCAAGCTAGTAATAGCACCGTAACCGTGATTAGGGTGCTAAAGCCGGCCGTATTGTTGAATAACCCTTTATTAGGGCTATTGAGCGGCTTTTCCACAGAAGACGCCGGCATTTTATATTCCAGTATTTCTTCTATTTACGGTAATTATTCACAACAAAAAGGTTTTCATTCATTACTTCCAACAATACCAATTTATTGTAATTGATTGACTTTTCAGTGACGGACACGTCTCTCTTAGGAAATCACAGACAATTTTTTTATTAAAAATTTTGGCGTGGATGCTTGTTCTTTAAGCCATGTCTTCATTTCATACTAGATTTTCAGTATCAAGTGATAATAATCCTTTATGGTTCACTGCTGCACTTGATGCGTCACACTCACATTGCGTAGTTTTTTGGAGACTGACGGCAACTTGAACCAGCAGACAGTTGGCTATAATACCTCAAGTTGCCTACGCAGACAGATACCTTATCTTGAGATTCACATCACCATCAGAGCACTTTTTTCACCGTTTCCACGAATAATTCACATGCACAGACATTTAATACACAAAATTTCAATACTTTTACATAACAGCATCCACTTCAAACCATTATTTAAACAATAATACCGGAGCAGCAATCCGTCGCCGATCAATTTCCTGCTGTAAAAACTCAAATGACAGACTAATCACTACGTTTTAACTGATTACAAACACGATACATAAACAAATCAAAACAATTACTTTACTCTTTGTTACCTAAAAGTGTGAAGATTTTGTTTAATTTGCTTATATTACTGGAAACGAAGTAACAAGTACTTCGATGGTGATATAAAAAAATCCACAAACTAACATGATGCTTACGCATTATAAATCTCAGGGTTTATATACCTTGAGATATTATCGTCATCAACTATCTGGATTAAGCTGTTATCGAAATGTCAAAAAATATATAATATATAAATTATATTTATTTAAATGTCCCAAAAAGAATTCCTTCTCCTTACTTCCTTCCTCTTTCTTTCCCTTTTGTTAAGTCAGTGCGCTTCACCATCTTAGGGTACATTACCACTTACCATCAGGTGGGATCGTAGATAAGCGTTGGCTTAGTAGAATATATAAAAAAAGAAGTTTGTGAACATAATACACATCAGACCAGGCTGTATGGTCTAATACCACAACATGCGACAGCTGTTTGATTTTGACAATGACATTACATCATAATCTTCACGTTGACAAATTGTACAGTTTGACAGTTTGACACATTGACAGTTGTTGTTGTTGATACTAAGCGTAGCGATTTTCTTTGCTATGAAATTAACTCAAGACAATATTTAAAAATTAATATAAGTGTACTTATCTTATAAAATTGATAAGACAATAATAAAGATCTGGATATATTTTTAATCTAAATGGCTAACTATCAAGAAATTGTACATTTGAACGTGGGGGGCACAAAGTAACTTGAAATAGATTTTATTAAACGAATTAAGCTATATTTATTTACTTCTTGGCCTTTTCGTAATAAGATAACAGTACAGAGCTTTATAAAATTGTATTTTATGTGATTAACTCGTCAAAGATTTACTTTTATACTTACAATGTTAACAAATGTTTATTTCGAACGTCTTTTACAGATTTGCGACGTCTTGGCACACACTTACATGGGTACCTGACACATTCTTCACAGCATTGCTCAGTGGCCGTATACCCACAGTCAGAGATGAAACCGGAGCAATTTTTATTGATAGAGATCCCAATTTATTTAGCCTCATTTTAAATTTTCTCAGAACTAGAGATATAGATCTGACTAATGTGAACATAAGAGCACTTAGACATGAGTGTGATTATTTTGGAATAACACCACTTAGTAGAAGGCTGGCACTGTGTGACGAGATGAACCATTCATCATGTGGTGATGTATTGTTTTATGGGTACTTACCACCACCATGTAAGTATTTATATGTGGCTTTTATTACATTATTAACACTTTATTTTGAATAAGTGTACTTTGGCATTCTTTAGCTATACTTGAATTGTTTAATGAAAATTAATATGTTAAAAATATAATCAGATTTAAGTTATTATTGTAAATTTAAAGTGGATGGATACACATGCCTGGTAGTACACAATTGGTTGTTGACTGATGCATAGCATATGGATAAGTAAAATTAGATATTATGCGTCAATAGCCTAATGGCAGGACGTGGACCGCAAACTCGAAAGTTTGTGGGTTCGAATCTGCCATGTGATTACTGTTGTGAACCACTTCTAACACAAGCATTTTAAGCTTACCAGAAGTGGTTAAAGGGAATATTAGTAATGTCTAATAGCACTACTAATATTTTTTTTAATTTTAAAGAAATACAAATAAAAAAGGATATATAGACAGTGATAGGTGGCTAGCCCATCACCTGCATAATCACAAAACACCATTATCATATTTATCACCTTCTACAACATGTTAGGTAATTATTGCAGTTGGCATATTAGTTTTTTTATAAATACAATATAAACATGAGGCACGTCAGATCCAGCATTTTTTGGCTAAATATGTTCTGAGTGGCAAGAAAGAAAGAAAGAAGAACATGTTTTTTTTTCTATTAATTTGTAAGTATTTAAACTAGTAATCAAAGTTAAATAGTTGTATTTTGTAAGATTATACAGAAATTTCTCTGCTCTATGGTCTTTTAGATTGTGTTGCCTTGCATTGTACAATAGTCTTTACTAAAAAACAAATATTCATATAGCCTAACTCGCCCAAAAATTAAACTGAGACAGAAACTGGGACTTAATTTTAAGTTAAAACCAAAAATTAAATAAGAATTAAATCAAAAAAGCTGAGCCTTAATAATACTTATATATATAAAAGACTGTGGAAACCAAGATCTCTGTGTGAGCTTAGTATATAGTAGGTGTATAATATATAGCCATTGTGGAGGAACCTTTAAGAAGGCACTTGAATTAGATCCTGAGCTGCTGCAACTCTTTATTTGGTTTTTTATATGCAATAACCTATTGTTCCATGTATCTTGTAATATATAAAATTGAAAATAATTACTATATTATGTCCTTCTCATTTCCCTGTATGTAAAGAGTGTAGCCAGGATAAAGATAAAATTTGTGTGAATTTTTAAATGAAGCAATATTTTGACGGCTTTTGTAACAAAGATATTTAAGGCTTTGAGGAATTAACAAGCATTTTTGTTAATAGTAAATCCTATACCTAATAATGGAAATGGAAGAAATGGTAACAACTGCTCCAGGAAAAATTCAACAGCTTCAAGCACAGAAGTGGCAACTAACAGAACACACTCAAGGAACTCCTCCCTGGATCTTCGAACAGTTGGTAGAATACCTTCACAGGATCAGATAAGGTAATGAAATATATATTATTATTAGTCCTTTCTCCTTAATAGAGTTGTTATAATAATAATATGATATATGATAATATAAATAAATAAAATTAATAGAATCAGGCGTTACTTTGCGGAAATCCATTATATAAAAGCTTTTACAAAAATTTACTTCGCAAATATCCGCGTTATAAAATAAAATGATGTGTCTTACCTAGTATGAAGAAGCACCTCCCGCCCTCCCTCAATTGCGTGCACTAACCCCGTCACCACTAATCCCAGCACCGCTACTCCCAACACCACTACACTAGGCAAGACACACCACTGACGATAATACGACACGTGTTTCGCCTCTACACGAGGCATCCTCAGGTGATATAGACTCTACGGTGGCTAACCGCTAAGTCTTAGCTAGCCTTAGGATGCCTCGTGTAGAGGCGAAACACGTGTCGTATTATCGTCAGTGGTGTGTCTTGCCTAGTGTAGTGGTGTTGGGAGTAGCGGTGCTGGGATTAGTGGTGACGGGGTTAGTGCACGCAATTGAGGGAGGGCGGGAGGTGCTTCTTCATACTAGGTAAGACACATCATTTTATTTTATAACGCGGATATTTGCGAAGTAAATTTTTGTAAAAGCTTTTAATATAAATAAAATTGAACTTTGTCTGTAACATCAAAACAACTGACTTCTATTATGCTCAAGGGGCTATTTGCATGCTATTAAGACATTCTCATTATAACTTTTAATTTATCAACTCTCTTTTATATACAGTCGCTGTGGAAGAGGGCATTCTAGAGCAGCATCTCTGGGTAATGCGGAAAGTCACAAAGGCCTGCGGCCACCTGAAAGTATACTTATCGTTTAATTCATATTAATACAGTTTAATTTGTGTAATATTTAAATCACTAATCTACATAATCCTTAATGTTTCAGTGAATGCTTGGGCTGACAGTTTGAAAGTTCAAATTATAAAAGCTCATCATAATTGGATTGCCGTAGCTTATACACATTTTGTGACAGGATACAGGTAATTTTAATATTCCACTATTAATATTTATCTATGTGAGGGGCACACTTCCACTATTGCCTTCAGTTCATATCGCCGTCTATGGGCGGCCAAAAGGTTTATTTAAGAAGTCTTTTGTAAATTTTCTGAACTCAAGTGATTGAGATAATGCAAAGTTCGTTCGTTAGTAGTGGTCTGTGATGATAATAATTGGTGCGTCTTTTAGAGATAGTTTAACTTCTGAACAACATTACCAATAAAGTTTACATTCACACTTCACACAATATACTATATATGATTTGTGGAGACAATGGTATGAAATGTCAACAAATTCAGGATTGTCCCCTCCATAATATCAGATTTTTTTTATAGTATAGGGTGCCAAACGAGCACACAGTCCACCTGATGATAAGTGCTTGCTGTGACCCATAGACATCTACATTTATCCTCGTTTGCGAATCAAAATGCAGATGCGTTGCCACTTGTGAGGACTAAGATGGAATGCCTTGTTTCCAGTAAAAAGGGGTATCCGGTTCTCTGCACTCACCATACGAAACACAGCAGTGGTAAGCTGCTATTTGACACTGGTATTCTGTGAGAGCGTGGTCATTCCCCGGTCGAGCCGACCCATTCGTGCTACAACTATACTACTAATATAGCTGCAGCATGGCTCTACCACGAAAAACCATGTAGACCCCTGTTAGATCCAATAAAACACCGTGATTTAGGTAAATACGTGTATTGTGCTAGGTAGCAAAACTAATGACAAACTGGTTGACTTAACTAACATTATTTCTTAACAATGTTATGCAAGTACCCACCTTCATAACTATTTATGACAATCTATGATATAACATACCTTTCCCCTAAGTATGTACATACAATATTCATTACTTACAAACTCAACAACCAACTTTTAATACATCATCTATGTAAACTAAATATGTATTTCTATTATAATCAGTAAACTTAAGCTATAAAATTATTACTAGGTCTCTCATACGGTGACTTAGAATGAACATTCATTTTATTCCTAATTTTTCCCCCGGAATAAGTTACTTCCATATTAGTTGGTATACCTAACATTTCCGCCCATTTCCCCTGACTAGGTATTTCAATAATTTCTTCTCTTACATCATTATCTGTCTTATCTTTTTCTAAGTTATAGTCAGTAATTTCCTCTGCTAAGTCATTGTCCATTATTTCACTATTATCTGTGATATCTTGCTTCTTGGACATCTCTTCATCCTCTCTCCGGGTTATCGCACTCATGTCAGATTGTCTTCTGTTAATTAATTGATCAATATGTCTATTTATTAAAGATCCATCTTCTGTAGTAATCTCATAACTAGATGGTCCATTTCTATTTACTATAGTTCCTGGTAACCATCTTGGCCCATTACCATAATTCCGATACATAACATTCTGACCCGTCTCTGCTTCCCTATTAATGTTTTGAGTGTTACTAATAATTTGTTGTGTTCTTTTTCTTTGCTGTAGTGTATCCAGCAAAGTACGTAGGCGCCTGTTCATTAAGAGTTCCGCTGGACTCTTTTTAGTCGCTGTACAAGGTGTAACACGCAAACTTAGTAAAATGTTAGGAAGTTTGATATCCCATGGGATATCGTTCATCTTTCGTAGTTTATCCTTAATGGTTTGGACCATCATTTCAGCCAAACCATTGATAGCCGGGTGATAAGGTGCTGTAGTGACATGTTTAATTTTGTTGGCTTCAAGAAATATTTTCATTTCTGTCGATACATATGGTGTTCTATTATCTGTAACTAAAGTTTCACACAATCCATGTGTTGCAAACATATTCCTTAAATGTCGAATAACTGTTCCAGAAGTCATATTGTTTACAATAAAAACCTCTGGCCATCTCGAATAGGCATCGACGGCAATCTGAAATGTCTTATTTTGAAAAGGTCCGGCAAAGTCTACATTTACTCGAGACCATGGTTTAGTTGGTGTAATCCATTCACAGCTTGTTTTAGGGGGCATGTGCCTGTTTTCTAAACATTTTGAGCATTCACCTACTAAAACTTCAATGTTATGATTCAATTGCGGCCACCAAACGTAACTTCTGGCTAATGCCTTTGTTTGCACGACACCTGCGTGTGTCTTATGTAAGGCACCTAGGCAAGGCTTAAGCAACGATGGTGGCACCACTACGCGACAACCAAATAAAATACATTCTTCATGCAATGAGAGTTCAGTACGATGTAACCAATACGGACACAGTTCACTGTCCGTGACTTTGTCAGGCCAACCGCTTAGTACGTAATGACTTACTCGCGATAAAGTTCGGTCTCTCTTCGTTGCCGATGCTATGAGATCAACATCCACTGGAAAATCAGCAGGCGTCTCCGCCATAAGCAAAACATCACAAAGCTGTTGCTCTGGTTGATCTGGAACTGGCTGTGGCAATCGACTTAAACCATCAGCATTTCCAATTACTCTACCTGGCTTATAAATAATATTGTAGTTGTGTGACGTGAGTATTAACGCAATTCTAGTTAACCGAAGTGACAAAATCGCTGGCATTGGCTTTTGAGGATCAAATATACCAAGCAATGGCTTGTTGTCTGTAACTATTGTGAAAAACCATCCCATCAAATAATTGTGAAATTTAACTACCCCAAAAATGATAGCTGTGGCCTCTTTATCCAATTGGGAATAACGGCTCTCATGCGCATGTAAAGTCCTAGAGCCCATCGCAACAGGTCGCTCTGTTCCGTCCTCCATTATATGTGATAATACAGCGCCGACGCCGTACTCAGAGCTATCACAGGTAAGAACCAATGGCTTATTAAGATCGTAATGAACAAGAGTCAACTCTGAAGAAAGTAAACGCTTGGCGGTATCGAAACTATTTTGTTCCCGGTCAGTCCATTGCCACATTTGTGACTTATCGAGTAATCTATGTAGAGGTTCAAGAATAGTTGCTTTGTGAGGTATGAACCTCTCGTAAAAGATATAGAGGCCTAAAAATGCTTGTAAATGCTGTATATTTTTAGGTTCCGGAGTTTTAAGAATCGATTCAACCTTGCTCTGAGCTGGATGAATACCATCCGCATCGATCACAAAACCTAAAAACTCCACGCGTCTTTTAGCAAATTTACATTTGTCTTTATTAAGACTCAATCCTGCTCTTTCAATGCGGTCCAGTACTATTTCAAGACGTTGAGTCATTTCTGTCAATGTGCGGCCGCTAATGATGATTAGCGGATTTTAAACAGTGGTAGAGCCACGCGGCAGCTTTTGCTGTCGCACGGGGATGGGCCGGCTCGAACCGGGGTGGTACCACGACCTCACAGAAAACCAGCGTGAAGTAGAGGTTTACCTCTGCGCTTCGGTTGGTGAGTGCAGGTGGCCGGAGGCCCTTTTTACTGGTAATGAGGCATTCCATCTTAGTCCTCACGGGTGACAACGTATCTGCATTTTGATTTGTAATAGAGGATAGATGTAGATGTCTATGGGCCGCAGCAACCACTTACCATCAGGTGAACTGTGTGCTCGTTTGTCACCCTTATCCTATAAAAAAAAATGATGTCATCAATCAGCACGGCTACACCTGGTATGCCTGCTAGCAGTGCTGTCATAAAGCGTTGAAATATTCCTGGACAGGCCTTTACGCCGAATGCCAATCTGTGTACGGCGTACAATCCTTTGCATGTATTCAAAGTTAAAAGCTTCGCTGTGGCGTCTGTGACCACCACTTGCGTATATGCTCTGTCTAAATCAAGTGTCGTCTAATAAGAACCACCTGTAATAACTGCAAAGACTTCACTAGCCGTGGACATTGGCTGAAATGCCCGGAAACTTCTCGTATTTATTCCAGATGTTAAAATAGAGACTGTTACGCCATTGGAAGCAGCGTTAAACTAGACTAAAATGGACTATGGTTACAGGCCGATGACAGAAAGGGAACAACAAATAACTTCTCATTGTTTTCAGATTGACTGACTCTTGCGGCTGGTATGTTGTGTTTCAATCGCCCGTGCAAGACTCTGTTATAGAACGCATAGCCCTAAACGCTAAAACTGGTGGTGGTGCCACTTCAAGTGGCAGTAACACATCAGGATCTGACGTGATGTTAGGTATTGCGAGTGGCTCACTAGTAAGGCTGTGGGCCTTTTCGACTCACACAGAACCAGTCAGAAGGACATTGATAGGTAAGTTAACAAGAGCCATCTAAATATCACTATCAGTAATCGAGAATATTACTTCTGATATTATCAACATTCATAGCTGTCCCTGGTCTTTTGATAAATCCTTTTTTTTACTTGGTCCACGAATTCGTCATAGAAGAAACACATTGTATCATTAGCCTTTCGAAAGAGCGTTCTCGTATGTTACTTCAAGTGTAGTAAGAGATAACAGAGGGAAATGAAACGAGATGGGCAGCAGCATCCTCCTAATGAAATAATAATAAAATACAATTGCTAACCCGCTTGGCAATTGATAAGCTATAATAAATGATCAATGAATAAATTTCAACATGAAATTTAATAAGCAGTGCTTGTGTTATCTGTAAAGTGAAGTCTTTTATATTTTTTGTTTATCTGTCTCTTTAATTTTGTACTAATATAATTTGTACATAAATTGGTAAATGTTGAAAAAAATAATGTTGGTTGCCTGCGCAGTGCTTTATACTGCTTGAACGTGTGGTGGACTTTTAACACTTCTTAGTTTCTACCTTCACTCGTTACACAAAGTACCAAGACGTCGCGAAACCTTGCTCTTACGTCTTTGTTTAATTTGTTCCAATTTTTTTTACATTTAATTTGTGAAATGATTTCATTTACATGTATTTTTGTAACGTAGTATAGTAACAACTGTAAATAATCTTTCAGGGACATTTAATCTAGGAGTTCGTGTGGAACACTTACTATTCGTAGGGCCTCAGTTAGTAGCACTCAGTGGCGCGGGTAGCCGCAGTAAAGCAGGCGTGTGGCACACCAGCACTCAACACTGGCAGACGCAAGATGTCGCTCATCTCACCACGCACGATACAGCTGGATCCTTTCTTCTATTGGGAACTGCTACTGGCGCTATTAATTATATAGGTGGGCTTCATCTTTTTGTGGGTATATAAATTTTTAGTCCGGGTTGAATTATTCAAAAAAAATAAACTATTTTTATTTAAACTGTTATTATTGCTTATGTTATAAATCATTTGAAAGGTTTTTAATTTTATGAGTCATTTTGTGTATTTTTAATCAGCCTCGAGCACAGGTACAGAGTATCTAGCCGTGCAAAATGGCTTATTGGTGATTCTGGTGATTATTGTTAAAAACCAGTCTTCTTAACCTCGAATACAGGCACAAACTAGCCAACCTCTCAGTATACTGTAGGATACATTCTAGAGAGTGTGTGCAGGGATTACATGGTTTAATTCTCTCCCACCTTACCACTCACGTAACCTGAATATTGCCACGGTCCTGAGTTCCAATATAGAACAAGTCAGTCGGTGATCTTCTACCCCTTTGTTATCAATATTTCACTCATTCGTACCAAATGGTTTGTTTTGACTTCTCTAATGCGTACAGCTAAGTAATGAAATTATTTACCGGCTTCTGTCTTTGCATCTGATTACAGTTTAAGCGTCTTCAAGGCAAGAGTTAGTAGGTTTTTGGTACGCTACCACAGTGCGATTTACCATCTGGAGCTTCATCATCGCCAATTGGGATCGAGTCAACCATTCTTACAATATTAGGTCCTTACCTATGAAATTTCCGTTTTTCATGAAATAAGTTAACGTATTTTTTTCTATATTTTTTATTTCTAATAATCAAAATAATCACCCATGCAATCGATGTATCTTTGCCAACGCAGTGGCAGCTTGATGCCCTTCTTAAATAAATCAGCTGGACGAGAGGCAACATATTCTTCTTAAATCTGCCTTTCGGGTATTGAATTTTTTTTCCCGCCAAAGTTATCCAAATTTTGGAATAGTAGAGGTCTATAGGCGTAAGGTCTGGTGAGTACGGCGGATGACGGAGAGCTTCCAACCCCAGCTCTTGAAACTTGGAGACCGTCTGTTGTGCAGTGAGGTCGCCCGTTGTCGTGCAGGAGCAGCGGGGACGAGCGATTGACCAAAGCTGGTTGTAGACGTGCCAGCTTCTCCATCATTGTGTTCAGTTCTTCACAGTACACATCTACAATAATGCTCATCCCGTTTGGTAAGAAGCTGTGAATGACACCGACGCTACTCCACCAAATAATGACCATCACTTTTCTAGGGATAAGTTTTCGTTTAGGGCATTGTTTAGGTGCTGAACCAGAATCCAACCAACTTGCTGAGCGCTTATGATTGTCAAACAGAATCCATTTTTCATCGCAGGTAACAATGCGGTTCAAAATTCTTTCTTTTCTCTGCCTGTTGCGCACTGCAAGGCACGTCTTGAAGCGTACTTCGCGCTGGCGATCATTGAGTTCGTGGGGGCACCCATTGGTCAAGATTTTTTACCTTGCCAATTTGACCCAAATGGGTCAATATTGTCTTGATGCTAACGTGGAAAGCTGCTGCTAATTTAGCCGTAGATTGAGTGTCGACCAGTTTTCGGACGACCACGTGGTTCATTTTTCATGTCGAAATTTCCAAAACGGAAGCGGACAAACCAATAACGTATGGTGCGTTCGTTTGTAGTATTTTCTCCGTAAACGTCGTTGATATGTGTTCGTGCGTGCCGCTTGTGCTGCGTTGCTGCCACGACGGTACTCATATTCCAGACACATAGACAAGGGGAATCTGACTGTCTAATTTTTTTTAATTAAAACAAAGCATTGCGATGCCCTCGCGGGTGTTGACGCAATGTGATTTCTGCCTAGTGCTATGAATGTCAACGTGAAGAAATTCAAGCAAGCGCGGGTAAACGGCGGGAGTAACTATGACTCTCTTACAACGACGATGACGCACGGAGGTCGGATCATGCTTCGGAAGCCTGATATAGTCACCGCTAAAGGAGGCGTCGGAGTGATCGTGGACGTGTCCAGGTAGTCTCGGGCCAGCGACCCCTCGATGATGCTCACCGTGAGAAATGTAGTAAGTACGGAACTCACGAGGAACTAGTTGAGAAGGTTGCTGGTATATTAGGACTCCCAACTAGGATTGCGTCCGCGCGACCTCCTTTACGATCTTCTGGAGAGGCGTCTGGAGTCACTCCTGTAAGGAGTTGAAGAAGCTTCTAGGGCTGAAGGAGAATCTGTTTCGAGCTATACCGATGGTGGTATTGCGTGGCTCGCATATGAACTGGACACGATTCAGTCAGTCATGACCGGGACTGCAGCTGGAAGCCCAGGGTTAGTGCCCGGGGTCCTGTGGGATCTTGGGCTGCTGCCGAGCCCTTGGTGGTCGCGGCCATATGCCTTTGATGGTAATTAAAGGCATGTTTCCCCGAACATCCAGCAACCACCAGTGCAATAGCAATCGGCAAAATGCTGATCTGCCAAGCCTCTTGGACGGGAGACGGGGACTAGTGGCGTCTCTCATGGCATCCATAATGTCTAATGAATACGTTCACTAAAACGATGGTATAATGATCGACTTAATTTACGGCTACGGTGGCTTAGCAATGAGTTGCAACGCTTGGGGCCGCGGGTTCGAATCCCGCACGAAACAAGTATTTTTATGCTCTACAAATAATTGTTCCGGGTCTGGATGTCTGTCCTTGTGCAATATATGTTTGTAAACTGCCTCCACGATACAGGAGAAAATCCTAGTGTGGGGGCAACGTTTTTTTTTTAAAGATAAAAAAATACGCGGAAATAGCCAAATGCCTCGTCATCTAATTAGTGACGCGCATGAATGGATTGTGTATGTCTACCCATATTAATGACGAAAAAGATTAAAATGCGATAAAAACATAGCCCTAATCAATAAACAAATGACTAATTTCGAAGAAAGAATTCCATGCTTTTAAAATAAAATTAATTAGTTTATTAATATACATTGTTGTTTATTTGTTGTCACACCTGAAGATTAAGAATACCTCTTTAGGAGTAAAAATTATTTCCAGTTCTCAACGCTTACGATGCAAAAAACAGCAACATTTTACTGCGATTGCGGGGTCCTTTCTCAATCGAGGCTTGCCGTCCCATTCAAGTTACAGTCATAATACAGCTGCAACGTGGCTTATTACTCTACCAGTACACTAAAAAACACCAAAGATCAAGCACCACAGACCAAAACATAGACATAAATAGTGTTTCTTCTAGTAGTCGTTCTGTACGACTCCTCGTGACTTTGGGTTTTTATCGTAAGAAGAAATATTAAAAGCGCGTTTCATCATTACAGATATGCAGAAGTTTCCACTGCGTATGAAGGATAATGATCTGCTTGTGACTCAACTTTATAAGGACCCTAATCAGGAACCAATCACAGCTATATCTGTCTATCTCACACCAAAAACTAGTAAGTACTGATTATTGTTTTACAATCTATTAATTTATATAATTAAATTCATAAATATCATATTACTCTTAAAATTGATCCAAGCTTTTTCTTACCTTAATGTTATTAATATAAGTTAAAATAAAGCAAGAGAAATTATGTACGTTTCCCCTCTTCGATCTGACTATTTTATGCCTCGCGTAATAAGATGACCACTAACTATCCACGCCATGATATTTAGATATAACTCTTACTCTAAGTACCCTGGCTATTGTAAAAATTTATATTCAAAAGGAAAAAAAGATATTTTCAAAACTTGAAAGAAATTACATTGCAACATGGTATTTAAAAAGCTAAAAGTCCCCAGAATTTCTTTCAGATTCTTTGAAACCTCAAAGTTCTTGCGAATCGGTGAAGATTTTGACGTTCATAAGCGCTTTAAACAAGACTAAATTCAATTAAAAAAAAAAATATATTCCTGGGATTTCCTATTTTCGCACCTTGCAACACCAACTACAGGTTACGAGTCTGATGGATTATCTTATTCCACCACAACTCGTGTACTGAATTTACCATAGGACTTTAAATGATAAAACCTTAATCCAATGTAAATGTAAATTCCACAATTAGATTTATGCGGCAACTGGATCGAAATAGCATACGGAACAAGATACGGTTCCGTCCGCGTGATCGTGCAGCATCCGGAGACCGTCGGCCACGGCCCTCAGTTGTTCCAAACATTCACTGTGCATCAGAGCCCTGTTACTAAGGTATGATGTCTCTTCAAATATAATACATTAAAATTATACGCTTTATGATGTGTCGGCTAGATTCTGGTTGTGTCTGGTGAATGGACTTGCACGATATGGGAATGACATATAGTGTAAAATATTAACAACAGCAACACAACAGGTTTTGCGTATCGTAAGTAAGAAGAACTAGTGGTCCAATTACTGATAACTTTGAGGTTTAGAATTATACTATCTGACTCTAATAGCTAACTTCACCTGCACGTTGTGTACGTGCACTTATACGTGCGCTTACCAGCTAACAAACTATTCAAATGTGCAGACCTTAAATATTTGTTAAATTAGCAAATTAAATAGATTTTCATTACTTAAAAACATACAAACAACTTGTTTATTTGACTACAAGAAACTGTGACGTCATTTACTGGTATTTTCTTACTATCTCAATTGAAAAAGCTTTGTTTACTTGTTGTGTCTTGTCGTTGTGTTTGTCGTGCGCTATTTATGGCTCCCATCTCCTTGTTTTCTTAAAAACACGTTACGGCTTTACTATACACGAGACATTTCTGTTTTAAGGGTTACTAGAAATTTCTTGTCTTGTTAAGCCGCTTTATACACATAAACTTTGACTGGGTGGAGCGTGACAATAAAAATTCGCAAAAAATATCAGCTACTGTTAACCTCTATAGTGCTCCTTTTTTAAGTTACGCCATCAAAGTCTGGCTGTCAATTGTGATTCTAAACCATCCAGGGTCCCACTCAAACATACAAAAAATTTCATCAGAATCGTTCGAGCCAGTTTAGAGTTTTAGCGAGACTAAAAAATTGATTCTTATATATAGAGATTTTTAAAAACTATCGATAATATCTCCTATCATCGACAAGTAACTTAAAAATCGTCACGTTTTACCAAAACAATGCAGGTTAATCGCCTAATTTTTAATTTATTTTTGGTGTTGCCAATTTTTCAATACAATCCCTTATATTGTCTAAAGTTGAACTGATGCAAATTGGTGATTTGATTTACCTTCACCCAACTACGCGAAGCCAAAAGTAGAGTATTGTGTACAGAGTAGTTCATTCGTTCGTTCGTTCAACCTAAAAGTGCATACATTTTTACGACCACTAGACTGAGACCAACGAGGTCTAGACCATATTATAGGTATTATGAGGTAGATTTCGAATAACTTGAAGTTGTATATTTTAAAATACAAATTTTGAAATCCAAGACATTTCCTTTTTTAAATTTTACATTATCGATGTCGGTTTCAATTAACTCGAAGATGTGTATTTCGGATATAATGTTAATTTTGAAATCAAAGAAAGCCGACATTTTCTTTTTAAAACCAGAATCGTTTTCAATTAACTCGGGGATGTGTATTTCACTATATAAGTAACAAATTCAAAGGGAAGGCCACAAATTTTACAACTTAAGTTACTTATACGAGTTTATATTATTATCGTTAACGATTGTAGAAAGTCATATTGGTTAAGCTCACTGACCTGTATAAGAAATTCTACACTGAAATTTAAGAAGCGCAATGCCTTAAATGTTAAACGAAGCGGAATTTCCAGGTATCGTTATCAGAAAACTACCTGGTATCGGTATGTAGCGAATACAATCACGTGCGTTCGTGGCGCGTGACTCGATTCCGCGGTATGATATCCACGCAACCCGGGACCACGCCGAAGGCAGCCTTCAAAGTGCTCGCCTTGGAGGCACCCACCGCTCAACCTCACAACGACTGTGGTAAGTATTCATTCAATTACGGAAATAAAGGGTAGATTTGTTCTCATTATCACTTTTAATAACAAACGACACCGTAGCGCATTGGCTAAGCGATGACTTGCAGCGCTGAAGGGCGCAGGTTCGAATCCCGCACGAAACTAGTATTTGTATGGCCTACAAATAATTGTTTTTTTTATAGGATAGGGTGACAAACGAGCACACAGTCCACCTGATGGTAAGTGGTTGCTGTGGCCCATAGACATCTGCATCTATCCTCGTTTGCGAATCAAAATGCAGATGCGTTGTCACCCGTGAAGACTAAGATGGAATGCCTCTTTCCCAGTAGAAAGGGTTTCCGGTTCTCTACACTCACCATACGAAACACAGCAATGTTAAACTGCTATTTTACGCTGGTATTCTGTGAGAGCGTGGTCCTTCCCCGGTCGAGCCGACCCATTCGTGCTACAACTATACTACTAATGTAGCTGCAGCATGGCTCTGCCACGTACATGTTTTCGGTCTGGATGTTTGTCCTTGTGCCATTTATGCACCTATGTAAACTGCAATCACGATACGGGAAATTCCTAGTGTGGAGGGGAGGTAACGTTAAAAAAAATGTAAATCTAAAAATCTAAACGTCCACTGCTGGTATGTATTTCCCGCTGTAGGGCGTCTTTTCCTTAAATGCTACTCTTAGAAAGTGGATTAACGACTGCAGTATCAAACGCCTCGCATATTTGACACTGCTCTCCATCGCTAGTTTGGGTTACTAATAGTGTCGGGGGAAAAGTTTCTTCATATTTTGTTTGTGTAAATTTTAAGAAAAATTCTCTTTAATTGTACTGTTTTTATCTGTCTGGTTTTAATATCAATACATATCAGACATTAAGAAAAAGAAAAATAAAAAGTAAAAAAACACTTTATCACCATTTTACTGTCCGCCAAAATGAGTGAATCTAACAAAAAAATTCAATGCTTTCTGAAGTTTTATTCCATAAAAAGGAAAAATGCGACTTAAGTCGCGAAATTTGTGACGTTTATGGACCTACTGCAGTGTCAGTAAGAGCACAATGTTAGTTTAAGCGTTTTCAGTCCGAGAATTTTGATGTCAAAGATGCAGCTCCCTCTGGTCACCCTCATACGGATAAAGTCGATGCCATTTTTGAAAAAGTAGAGCAAAATCGGCATATTAGTAATTAAGACATAGCCGAGGAATTGAGAGGACAAAACAGTTTTGACCCATTTGAAAAAGTCTAGCTATCAAAAAAGCTCGATATATAAGAAACATCAGTGGTCCGGGAACTGAGCCCTGCGGTACGCCATAAGTAATGATTGTTGGGCTACTTTGTATTTGATCAGTCTTAACCACTTGACGACGATTTGAAAGGTAAGATTTAATTATGGCATATGCAGAGAACCACAAATGCCAAGTTCTTTTAATTTACGTAATAATAGTTCATGACTAATAGTGTCAAAAGATTTTTTTAAGTCTATGAATACCCCAAGCACTATTTGTTTTTATCGATACTATTTTTTATCTTATTAACTAAATCTATCGTTGCTGAAAGAGTGTTGGATTTTAGTCTAAAGCCAAACTGTTTTTCGTAAAGAAAATTGTATGAAGCCAGATATCGCTCAAGTCTATTAAAATTACTTTTTCAAAATTTTTTGATAAAACAGGAAGAACTGATATTGGCCGGTAATTACTGGGGTCCAATTTTTTTTCGGACTTATAAATAGGGATAACTTTGGCAATTTTTAAACTATCCGAAAACGTTCCTATTTCTAAACATTTATTTATACAGTTAGAAAGCTCATTAACAATGATATTTTTTAAACATTTAATAGACTTGGTATTTATGTTATCTAGTCCAGAACTAGTATTATTATTTAGTTTATCAATTATCATAGAAATTTCGAGTATACTTATTGATTGCATTTGTGTAAGTGACTGTGTAGCACCTCCAGTTGCAACTGATATTAAATTATGAGTTGGATTCAGATGCGGGAGTATACTAGCCAATATTGCTCCAATTTTTGAGAAGAAGTCATTGAAATATTCATATATATCCATAGATAATTGAACATTTTTATCCGTTATCCGTAACGGAGTATCAGAGAAAGAGAGATCCATTACCATATTTGGACTCGGAATTTCAAATGAAGGATAGATATAGTCGTCTATTGGGCGACAGCATCCTTATTTTATCAGATAGACTGTGTGCTCGTTTGTATAACTCATTTCTATAAAATGAATCATTAACACTATACAGAATCAGAACGTAGAGCTGGCAATGAGTCTGCCATGTAGCTTGAAAAACTGTCAATCGATAAACACAATATAGCCTCGGGTGGCAGCCTCCTACAGGCAAGTATAGCGTATGGCGGCCCTCCACTACATGGAGTGACCGAGCTATGTAGCAGTTTATAGACGAATGTCCACTAATTAATGCTGAGGCATCTCCTTATCCAGTAAATATTTACTTTCAGGTCCATATGGTGAGCAAGATGAAGAGCAGATATTTATACAGAAAGTTGTACCTGATACTGACACATTGTATGTCCGATTAGCTTCCAATGGTAAAAGGTAATAGTTTGTTTGTTATATTATTTACTATTAGTCTAGAATTCTTGAATAACAATACATCCAAGTCCTGAAAAGTAATTATTCCTGTTAAAAAGGTATAATGAGGGAAAGCGGGATGAACTTAACTCACTCTCACCGAAAGAACTCAACAGTCTGAATAACAGTCTCAACTTTTCAGTACCTGCTTTGGAGTGTTATTGAGTGTTGCTGAGAATTTGATTGATTGGCGCATATTAAATAAACACTGGTTTGAGATGCCATTACATAAAATATGCTTTTTCAGAACTAAAAGCATACACACAGCATGAGTAAGAGTTCTTAAATTTCCAGTGTTTATTTAATATTAAATAAACATTAAATAAACACTGGGCTGGGATGACATTACACAAAATATGCTTTTTCAAAACTACAAGGATGCACAAAGCATAAGTGAGAGCCCTTAAATTCCCGGCTTCTCAAACCCCTGTATTCGTTTAACTTTTCATGCTAGTCGCATTTTTAACATCTTTATGGTTCGAAAGCTACTCAATTTTTAGATATGGTTAAGTCTCGTGGTGTCACAGTCACTTTGACCAACACGAGGCTCAACGGCAGCTTAAATTTGAGTAGTGTTTGACGGTAGCGAAGCCCCCATAGAAGCCGAGAAGCGGGCTTGCCATATCAAACTGCTCAATCAATAATATCTACTAATAAAATAACTCGTAAACTGTTTCAAACTATTTCAAATTTCCCGCGCGCTCCTCTGTTCTATAATGTAGCCTTATTATATAACGTCAACACTTGGCAGATTTCTTTACTGCGCGAGACTGCTGTCATAAAAAAGGAGTTGAGTTGAGCGATTAGTCGCCTCTCTCGCACGCGTGGGCTTTTTACTGGGCTTTCGAGGAGACGATCGCTCCCTTTCTAACCTGTGGCAAAATGCTCTATAATGAAATATAACTACGATTGTTTATATAGCAATTAGTATGGAGCCAAAAGCCCGGCTTTTGGTGTGAAGTTAGTCGAGTGCGAGGGCGCCCGGGCGATACGTTTGCAACCTCACTTCACATTTCAATGTTTACTCTGTGTGTTTACTTTATTTTTACTTATTACTTGAAAATTTAGGTATTTTTAAAGATTTTTAGTGAAAATGGAGGGTAATAGTGTTCCTTGTGATGAATTGAAGTGTGTTAAAGTGCTAAACGGCGATGAAAAGGTAAAATATTTAAACTGTGTTGAGAAAAAAATATCTCCATGTAAAAAAATATCTCATATCGATGTAAACAGTTATTCGTACAATTAAAACGTTCAACAACATTTTACGCGGACGCAATCAAATCTTTCTTTATGAAAGAGAGACGATTCGATTTAGAATATAATTATTTTGTTTTTTTTTTTTTATTTTATACATTGTTTGTACTTTGTTCATGCTTTTCTTATGTTCATGTATTGTATTGTATGTAAATATCATTTTCTTTCGCTCAAGCAAACCCAAACGGCTTTTTTCAAAGTCACCGAAGGTATGCATATAGTCATACAATCTATCTAGCAGTAGTATGCATTCTGTGTGCTTTGTTAAATACGTCCCCGACAGTACTTAAATATGAAACTGAAGAGTCATATCAAGATTGGTGTATTTCTATAAAACTGCTAAAAACAACAAAACCATATCTTGGGCTTGCCGTAGTTTGGAGCCCTAGCTTCACCACTGGTGTTTGATTATCTGGGCATTATTGATTTTTTTCCACTGCAGAGTGTGTACGATCCGGTCCGTGGACGGATCCGCGGTGTCGTGCTTCACGGTGGCGGAATGCGAGGGCGCGCTCCGGCCGCGGCGGCTGCTGGTGTGCGGCCACCGCTCCGGCGCCGCGCAGCTGTGGGACGTGTCCGCGCCCACCGACCGCGCCGCGCGCGCCGTACCCCCCGCACAGCCCAACGGCAACGGTAAGTGTGACGTCACCGCGCGCACCGCTCCGGCGCCGCGCAGCTGTGGGACGTGTCCGCGCCCACCGACCGCGCCGCGCGCGCCGTACCCCCCGCACAGCCCAACGGCAACGGTAAGTGTGACGTCACCGCGCGCACCGCTCCGGCGCCGCGCAGCTGTGGGACGTGTCCGCGCCCACCGACCGCGCCGCGCGCGCCGTACCCCCCGCACAGCCCAACGGCAACGGTAAGTGTGACGTCACCGCGCGCACCGCTCCGGCGCCGCGCAGCTGTGGGACGTGTCCGCGCCCACCGACCGCGCCGCGCGCGCCGTACCCCCCGCACAGCCCAACGGCAACGGTAAGTGTGACGTCACCGCGCGCACCGCTCCGGCGCCGCGCAGCTGTGGGACGTGTCCGCGCCCACCGACCGCGCCGCGCGCGCCGTACCCCCCGCACAGCCCAACGGCAACGGTAAGTGTGACGTCACCGCGCGCACCGCTCCGGCGCCGCGCAGCTGTGGGACGTGTCCGCGCCCACCGACCGCGCCGCGCGCGCCGTACCCCCCGCACAGCCCAACGGCAACGGTAAGTGTGACGTCACCGCGCGCACCGCTCCGGCGCCGCGCAGCTGTGGGACGTGTCCGCGCCCACCGACCGCGCCGCGCGCGCCGTACCCCCCGCACAGCCCAACGGCAACGGTAAGTGACGCCGCGCAACTGTGTGACGTCACCGCGCACCGTGGTGACCATGGCAACGGTAGGTCAGGGGATGCTAAGAATCTCCGGTCGCGAGGTTCGGTTGCCACCTACAATGACTCGACCGCCCTGAGGACTGACGAGAAGATCCTGGAGCTGGAAGAAGACCAGACAGACAGACAAGACAGACAAGTTGCGCTGGAACATAATAGGACTATCCGAAGTCCGAAGAGAGGGGGAGGACACGGTAAACCTCGAATACGGCAACTTGTTCTATCACCTGGGGTGGCGGATTTATTGTTCACAAGTACCTCGTTAACAACGTTGTAAAGATTGAGAATCTGTCGACGAGTGTTGCATACCTTATATTTAGAATCACCAAACGGTATTCGCCAAAGTTCATACAGGTTTACACACCAACCTTGGCACATCCCGATGAGGAGGTGTAGGAAATGTATGAGGATATATCCTAGAGCCATGCATTCCTACAAACCCCACTATACGGTGTTAATGGGAGACTTCAACGCAAAACTAGGCACAAGAGAGAACGGTGAGCTGAAAGTAGGGAAATTTGGAATAGGGCAACGGAACCCAAGGGGCCAGCAGCTGGCCGACTTCATGGAGAAAGAGGGACTCTTTATGATGAACTCTTTCTTCCAGAAGCGGCCCCACAGGAAGTGGACCTGGTCGAGCCCCAACGGTTCGACATAAAATGAGATTGACTTCATTATGACGACCAGACGACAACTGTTCAGTGATGTCTCCATGATCGCGAGGGTAAAAACTGATAGCGATCACCGAATGGTTAGAGGCATACTGAACCTAAATGGTAAGTTGGAGAGGTCTCGTCTAATGAAGTCAACGCTCCGTCCCCCTCGTGCTCTGTTCCAAAGTCCTGAAACCTTTCAGCTCGAGTTACAAAACTATTTTCAATTCCTAGAAGACAGTGAATGACAATGCAATGAACTGGACGATATGAATGACAAGCTCGTGGAAACTCTCCATGCGGTCGGAGCTGAGTTCTGCAAGACCCGCCGCAGAAGGACACAAAAACTCTCCGATCACACTCTTAATCTTATGGCTGTTAGACGGGAAATGAAGCTGCATTCTTCAGCAGATTTAACAGCGTACAGGCAACTGAACAGACAGATGTCCAAATGCATGCGACGGGACTACAACTTCAATACAACTCGTATGGATCGAGTGGATCCAGGGTTCGCTTAAAAGTTATTATATATCACAAGTTATTACACTGTTAGTAATGCAACAAAATCTGTTTACGGTGATTTGTTCCTCTCCGCAGAAGGGGACGAGTCGCCAGTAGCCGACGGCGGACCAACTCCGGACGAACTTGTACGACTGCTGTCCGCCTGCGACTTGGACGCTGCGCCTGTACCGCACTCCCCGAACCGACCACTCCAGGCGCCATGAAGCCGCGCCACCAACATCTGCGCGGCTTTGCTTAACCTCTACAGCATCATAATGCACACGTGAGTTCGTCGCGTGTCAACAACACTGGCTCTAAGTTCGCGTTTTCGTTGTCCTTGTCACTTCACAAACCGGCTCCTTCTGACGTCATGACAACCTGCAAACGTCCTGCAAACGTGCGCGCCGCGATCCTCAATCATAGTTTTTGTAACTTTGAGTGTTATTGTATTTTCACCACGATAAATTATATTTTGCAATATTATAAATTAATATTGAATACCGAAATATTTAGCTTTCAATTAGATATTAAAATGGTCATAAAGCTTGTTTTGCCAGGTTTACAAAAGAATTATTTCTCTCGAATTTGTTAACTTTGACCTAAAAGTTTATATGAAACAATTGTTAATCGAAATTTTAAAAAAAACTATACCCTGCCTAAGATGTCGAGGAGATAGGTAATCAATTGGCTGACTGAATTGCAAAATCAGATTTATACTATATTATTGATATTGAAGTAGTTTAGTGTATCAACTTTCACGTCGACCAATGGGTGAGACCCTGCACTAAATATATAACAAAACTAAAATATAAAAAATTATCTCTTAATACTGCTGAAAGATTTCAATTAAAAAATTAAAAAACGATTCTGATTAACCAGCCACCATAATCAAGTGAAATAAAAACTTATTTGACATGAGGTCCTCTTGGGAGCTACGTAGCGCATTAGGCCATGCCACATGTCCATTATGCGTCGGGTTTTTAACAATACAAAACTAACCCTAAAAATCATAGTTTATAATGAGACCACAGATAAAATACTATTTAAAACATTGAGTAATTATTTATTTATATTTATACTTTAAATTATTATTTAATAAATGAAATATATAATATTATTTATACAATGGTAGTCTGATTTCAATTTAAACAAAGCTCAAATAATTCGCCGTCATTATAACTAGTAATTAGGGCCCGGATTAATATGACATGGACTGAAAATCCTTAAATATAGGGAAAATATGCGTAATAAAAGATAACGACATTGTACATTAAAACGATTCTTTATTAAGAAATACCAAAAAAAAATACATTTTACTTAGGTTCGGTTTCATTATTATTTGAATTACAGTATATAATTACGTGTTTTCTTAAATTTTCAAAATTAAAACCCTTTCTGTTTGGACGAAATAATGCTTTGTACTGGCTAAATGATCTTTCAACATCACAGGATGTGATTGGAGCACATTTAAATTTACATAATTCTGCAAGTGAGTAGGGCACATCTATGGTGCCTTCTAATGTTCCACACAATATGCTGTTAATTTTCTTTAGGGTATGAAATCCTTTGTTTTTTTTCCAGTATATATCTTAATTTTTGCCTCGCTACTTCAGCAACGGGACCTTCTGATTCTAAAACTTTTGTGGCGGGTGGAAGGAAAAGGGGAGATCTCCTGCCGGGCAAGGTGTTGTGCCCGGGGAGCGGCCAAAGCTCCGAGTGGTAGCTCTGAGCTATTCTATATATACTGCTTTAACTTCGGAACTTTGTTAGCGCGATTTAGGCTTCGATGTGTTTCGCTTGTGGCGCGACGATAGCGACGCCACATCACCCCCTTGCTCAGACCGGAGGTCGATAGTGCAGTTCGATTGCCGGTGTGTCCTTAATGCCGGTGGGGAATGCATGCTGTGTGCGTAAAGGCAAGTGACGCCGGTGCGAACGATATGCCGGTGTGTAATGCATGCCGTACTACGCACTTGCAAGTAATGCCGGTGAGAACGATGAGCCGGAGCAAGTGCCAGGGATTGCCTTGTAGTCTGCGGTAAGTCGAGAAGAAGGAAAGTGATCTGCGAGAGTGCCGTGAAGCAGATGCGAGCAGTAAGGCTCGGAGCCGTGCCGAACACTGTAGCGCAGAGAGTAGCTTGAAGGAACAGGAAGCATTATTATTCCAGTGCTGCGATGAACCTTTATAAAGCTAGATGGATTGCAGAATGTGAAAACTGCAGACAATATCTGCTCGGGAGCGAATGAATGGGTTACTTGAGGATGATGACGAAGGTTTGAAGTTGTAGTTTCCGAAGGTTATTTAGTTGTGTATTCAGATCACGCCGGGGTCACCACTGTAGCCGGTGGAAGGAAACGGGGAGATCTCCCGCCCGGCAAGGTGTTCTGCCCGGAGAACGGCCAACGCTCCGAGTGGTAGTTCGGAGCTATTCTATATATACTGCTTTAACTTCGGAACTTTGTTAGCGCGATTTAGGCTTTGATGTGCTTCGTTTGTGGCGCGACGACAGCGCCGCCACACTTTTTTCGATAATTTCGATAATCTTCAAATTATCATTTATCTGGTGTGATAATGACGAACAGTATAAAATGTCGTGCACCATTCAGTGGACTGGTTTCCATCGATCCACAAAGGTATGTGTGGATTCTGTGTAGCGTCTCTGTGCTTCTTTTACCCAAAGGCGAAAAGGGTAATCTTTCTTGCTTTCCCTCGCAACAAGTTGTACACTGAGACTTGGTTATGTGGAAATTGTTTTCGTATGACAAACCATCCACCATATTTCTCATTATATTCATGTCCTGACTATTGATGTGCGCCAGCCTTCTGTGCCAACTGTAGCCAATATACAACTCCATGTGTGCAAACTCAGCTTATATACTCCATCCGATAAATCAGCTGGGGCTACCAAAATATTGCTTTTGTTTCGTATTGTTACGGCCCTCCGTTGCCCGGACAAAGGTCGATTGGGCTAGGGCCCATAGTAGTCCCCTCGACGAGCAACAGAGGGTTCGGGCCCAATGGCCTATGGATAATTCTCAAATAAGGGCTAGCAAGCAAACACAACTTACCGAGTTCCGGAGGCAGGGTTGACCACAGGGTGTCAGTCAGGTGGTAAGTGAAGTGTATGGTAAGTAGTGTGCGAAAGTGTGTAGATGTAACCTTTCAACTTTTATTTCACTATAGTAGTTTATCAACTTTATTGTACATTTAATTAACTTCAAATTCAACCAAGTCAGCGTTAATCGAACCCAAACTAGTGACACACTGCTCAACTTAAGAACTGTCGGTCAATGTTCAATGTCTCATGTTCACTTAGCACAAAATTATAGGTAATAGAATACGAACGCGACCTTCTCTCAGGACACAAAGTTTTTGCGTTCCGCCCGACAAGGCAAAATTCTTTTATTACGATATTAAATGCCACACAACCAACATGTCGACGCAAATTAATGGCAATCGAAGCGAAATTAATAACTCAAAACTCAAGGATAAGCATCGTTATCACTTAAAACGCTCAAAACAGACAACTCAATTCGAGGCGGTCTTAACGAGACCCAAATATTCAATAGTAAATTCCTTCTTATCGACACTGCGGCGGACGCGCGCAATTCTTGACACTGGCCGCGCCCAACTTACTAACGGTCGCAAACAATACTATACTTCGCCCACGCGTCAAGCGACCGAGCGGTGAGTGGAGAGACGCGCGCGGGGGGTGCCAGGCTGTGACTGGTACCATCGAATGAACGCGCTACGCGCGCGTTTTGATGCAAGTTTTTTAAAATATTACGATTTGGTCTAAACACGTATATAGCAGTGTTTTTCATCAAAACTAACATTATTTCCATGTTTAATAAGCTCACTTTCAGATAATAAGTTTGTTGTCAAACTAGTCACGCATAGTACATCTTTCACCGTAATGTCGAATTTTAAGTCAGAAACAATGTCGACGTTTCCGGAACAAATAGTAGTATAGTTGTAGCACGAATGGGTCGCTCGACCGGGGAAGGACCACGCTCTCATAGAATACCAGCGTAAAATAGCAGCTTAACGCTGCTGTGTTTCGTATGGTGAGTGTAGAGAACCGGAGAATCTTTTTACTGGAAACGAGGCATTCCATCTTAGTCCTCACAGGTGACGACGCATCTGCATTTTGATTTGTAATTGAGGATAGATGTAGATGTCTATGGGCCGCAGCAACCACCTTCATTGTGTGCTCGTTTGTCACCCTTATCTTATATAAAAAAAAAACAACTGGCACTTTTGATTTGTTTGCTACCACAATTTCAGGTAACAACGGTGTGGAGTTCATGTTTCTAATCCAAGATTCGTTCGCCGTCATATGCGCGCTTGCGCCTGAATCCACGTACCACTCTGTTTTGTTACTTTCCATTCAGGAAAACGACATTAAATACGCATTTTGCTATTATTTTTCTTCAATAACGGGCACTGGTTTTGATAATGACCATATTCTTTACATTTATAGCATGTTATTATTTTCCTAGATGAATTCTTGTTCGACAATGAGTGACGGCCATATTTCTTTGGCTTAGTGTTGTCAGAGTAAAATTAATTTCGCGCGGCAAATGCAGCTTCGTTTCCCGCGCTATTATTGTCACTGGTCACTTCCATATCAAGTAATTTCGACTTTATGTTATCGAAATATTTGACAATTGTTATTAATGTTATCGAATTTTTGACAGTTAATTGTTAGAAATGTTATCGAATTTTTGACATTTTTTTGACATTTTGACTCATCTGACATTGACACCTCTCACTTTTTGTGTCTATGGTGCGTTAACGTTCCGTTTCTTCATTTATTGTTAAGTTAATTATAGATTTCTTTCAATACTGCTGGCAGGTAGTTTACTGATGACTTATTTATTTTTGAATTTATCTATTTTATATATACATATACATATTTTATTTATATATATATATATATACATATTTATATATATATACTTATATACATACATTTAGTAATCAGGTATAATTTAATATGATTTCTTCAGATGATAGTGTTCGGAGTTCCAATTCCTTCGCCTTTGATTCTGCTTCTGATGGATTAAGCAGCATTGATAGCTTTGAAAGCATTGCACCCTTAAATATTATGTTAGATTCAATTTTTACTGAATGTAGCAAAAACTTTAATGCTATTCACATAAATGCTCAAAGTATTCCTGCTCATTACCCCGACATGTTGTCAAGTTTTAATAGCAAAAA